ATCCATGAGTTCATAATGGGACTTAAAAAATTATTGGTCAACTTTAGAAGATGCTGGCGATTTAACTCATTTTGAAAACTGGTAAATAAGGAAAAGAAATAAAATCCCTTCATGAACTATATACCTCAGAGTTAACAAATAAAATGAGGGAGAAGTTTCTGTTTATAGAAGTATTCTACCTAATAATGAAGAAAAGATGTTTTGAGTAACTGGTGAATGATGTCACCACTTTACTGCCTCTAATTAATGGAAGAAAACATATGATCATCAATGGCTACTAAAAAATACTAGGTATGAAGTGATGGGGAGCTTTATAATGGATGGATAAGGCTGGCAGTACCTGAGTCCACAGATTTTTACTAAATCTCACACAAAAGGAAACAACAGAACATTAAATGCCATCTGGTAGAAGTCCACAACACCACGTATAAACTATTCTTGTCAAGAACAGAACTTGAATCTGATCAAGCCTCTAGATATAATAGCCAGTTTATAAGAAATACAAGGGATAGAAAAATATATTAAATGATAACACGGGTGCACTTAGCAAAATCTAGAAAGCAGAATGGAAGAAACAATTATGAGACTAAAAGTATAGCCTGATGTGGATATTTAATATTCAGTATACTTAATTTAAATGTTTAATAATATTAAATCTTTAATATTAAATAAGTGATCTTTTAAGATATATTGGTATTGCAAATGTTTACAAATAGTTTCTTAGTTGAATCAAGATTGATATGTGTTGCTAATTGTGGAGCTGGGTGATAGATTCATGATAATTCATATTACTCTACAGTTTATATTTGAAATTGTATATAAAAATAAACTTGAAAAGACACTTTAATTTGAATTACTATTTTATCTTTTAAATGTGGTATTTCTCCTTAATTTACCCTAAGAAAACACTAAAATTTTATCACAGTACCTATTAATGGTGGTTTTTCTTCTGTGAATTAAGTGAGGAAAAGAATTCAATGGGTTTATTTATTTATTTATTCCATGGGTGTATTATCTGAATTAAGAATTCAGTGTTTTTAGTAGTCTACCTACCACTTTAATAGTATTGTGCTAGTGAGATTTAATATACTTTAAGGATAACTCTTAAGTGTTGTACAGATATTTCAGTTTTATAAAAGATTAGTAATACTGGTTGTTACCTAAAATAAAATATTAATTGGAGATCAGAGATTTAGTAGCCAAATTTGTGAGTTTTACATAAAATATGTAAAACTGTGTCCCCTGTTTCTCTTTGATTTACTTTATTTAGTCATTCATCTACCTGTGAAACATTGTACTCTTCATTTAATGCTTGACATAAGAGCAGCAATAAGCCAATCCCAGCACTCAAGGAACGTAAGGTCTTAGATGGGGTACCTGAAAACAAAAACACTACAGTGATTATTACATCGTTTGCTCGTAACCAAGATAGAGGTATATATTCAAGAAGTTTTGGGAGTGCTGAGGAAGGATACCTGATTTAACATTGGGTTGAGATAGAGTTGGCAGAGATTTGTTGGAGGAGTAGCTGTGAGGTGGTACTCAAGTTAAAAAATTACATAATAAAAAGAAAAGAGAAGGAATGATACAAAGGCAGGAAGTGGAAAGAGTAAGTGGCTTTCAGAGAATTACATGTAGCTTGCCATAGCTTGAACTTAGGGATTTAAGTGAGCAACCAATTGAAAATAGATTGGAGAATTAGAGATTCCTGAAAGGTCTCATAGATGTTTGTTGAACTTTGTTACGGAACAGAAGACTTAAAAAAGAAAGGCCACGATCGGCTTTTTATTTTAGAAAGAGCATTTGCAACAATAGGTGGAAATAACATTTCTTAATTAGGGAGAGGCTTTTGACCTATTTTAGCTCAGAGTTTTCAGTCTATAATTTTTTTTTCTGGCCCCATATATATTTTTCTTTCATTTTTAAAATCTCTTTTTAAAAAAATCATGCAAAACATTTACATAATTCTAAAACTGAAGACTCATTTCAGTTGCTGTTCCTTCTGCTCTTCCCTCCCTCTGTCTTTAGGTGATCATTTTTTAATTAGTTGGGTTATTCTGCCATTGTTGCTTTTCAAAAAATAGAAGCGAATACATATAAATATTTTTCTTTCTTATGCAAAAGAGACGTTCTGTAAACTTTTTTTTTTCACTTAAACTGTATCTTAGATCATTCTATAGCAGTAAATAAGATATTCCTTACTCTTTTTGCATCTTGTTTTTTTGTTTGTTTTTTTTGAGATGTTTTGCTCTTGTTGCCCAGACTGGAGTGCAGTGGCGTGATCCTGGCTCACCACAACCTCCACCTCCAGTGTTCAAGCGATCCTCCTGCCTCAGCCTCCCAAGTAGCTGGGATTACAGGCATGCGCCACCACACCCGGCCAGTTTTGTATTTTTAGTAGAGATGAGGTTTCTCCATGTTGGTCAGGCTGGTCTCGTACTCCCAACCTCAGGTGATCTGGCCGCCTCTGCCTTCCAAAGTGCTGGAATTACAGGTGTGAGCCCCCGCTCCTGGCTCTTTTTGCATATTCTTTATCCTACTAAAGAACAACTCAATAAAATACTTTATTCAGTATTTCTAATACCCAAGGTAAAGGCATTCTAACAATAAACCCGTGCGATTAGAGTAGCCTAGCCTCGGGTTGTTGCTTTTATCTCCAGTCAGTACTACTGCCTAAAGAATGTGAAAGGAAAGATTTCTATATTCATTTTAGAATTTTGATTTGTTAACAAGCAGTTTGTATTAGCTATGCATCTGGAGTGACTAATGACTAATAAGAATTACAGGCCCACAATAGCCCCCACAATTCAGTCATTCGTCTATCTACTGTTCACATATTTATTGAGCACACATCTGTGTGAGGCACTGTGCTAGGTACTCTGGAAAAAAAATGAGTTTCATAAATATCCATTGTATCATAGATAGAAATTTAAGACCTCTTGAGGTCTGTTAACCTTACTGTGTATGATCTCTACTTTCAAGATCTTCAAAGGAGATACTTTATTGCTACTAGCAGAATAATTTAATAGAACTCAGATTCCTCAAAAGAAAGAGATACACTTTCTTTCTTTGCTGAAGAATTCATTTAGCAGCACTTATCTTCTAAGTGTTTTCTGACTACTGTACCAAACTTGGTTGTATCTTTAGTGCTCCCCATACATGTGGATCAGTTGTTTTAAACATAGCGAAGAATGATATTTATCCATTTATATGACTGTCTCAAGGTTAAATAGTTCTTTTAATGGTAAGGACTTCGTCTCATCTCAGTCTGTCCCCAGTGCCTAACATATGATAGTTCTCAATAAAGTGTATTGAGTAAATGAAATATTTTGCTTACCTACTGTTTTAAGGGAAAAATAAAGTTGTATGTCAGGAAAAAAAGTTTTATAATATCCTTGCTAAAATTTCTTGCAAGAGATGCAAGTAAAATATGGCCTTAAAAATTAAAATTTAATATGATGTTTTTGGACCTCAAAACTATGTGACCAGAGAGTAGACATGATGGCAAAAATGATGTTCATAACATATAAGCCTTTAAGAAGCAAATTTTAATTTACCGTTTCTGTGAATATAACATTTATTCCATTAGATTTAAAAACACAATAATGCTTATTCATACTTTAAGCATTTATATATCTCACCTGTAGAATCAAAATTCTTCCTGCAAACTTTTATTTCTGTTTTCATGCAGAAATTATTAAATTCTTGCTCTGGAAAAAGAGAATTACTGTGTTGTCTTAGAGTAAATACCTCCATCTGGTGGCATTTTAGAAAATTACAGAAGAGGACAGGAAGCTTGTATTTTCTTTTTTTTTTTTTTTGAGAGGGAGTCTCGCGCTGTCGCCCAGGCTGCAGTTCAGTGGCCGAATCTCAGCTCACTGCAAGCTCCGCCTCCCGGGTTTGCGCCATTCTCCTGCCTCAGCCTCCGCAGTAGCTGGGACTACAGGCGCCCGCCACCTCGCCCGGCTATTTTTTTGTATTTTTTAGTAGAGACGGGGTTTCACTGTGTTAGCCAGGATGGTCTCGATCTCCTGACCTCGTGATCCGCCCGTCTCGGCCTCCCAAAGTGCTGGGATTACAGGCTTGAGCCACCGCACCCGGCCGGAAGCTTGTATTTTCTTGTGTATCTGTAAACTATGTTACCTGTGGTTTCTCATAAAGCCAAATGAAATTACATCAAAATCTGATTCTACCGTATGTACCAGAAATTTAATGCCCTAGTTTTCAACATATAAACAAATGACCTTGGGGATAATTATATAATGAACTGTTTAGTCCAGACCATTTCTGCTGTATCTTGGACTAAAAATTAGAAATGGAAAAAAAGATAGTTTATGAAATGTTAATTGCTTTTGTATGTATGTGTATGCATGTTAGGAAATATGAGAATTTGCTATTTCAGATTTATTGCTGCAGATCCATGAAGAACTATTAAGCGTTACTGATTTTTTAAAATAAATTATATTTTATCATAGCTCGATTATAATAAACTACATTCTCCTGGAGTGATAGAGATGGAAACTTGAAAACAGGCAGAAACTGCAAATAAATTTCTGCTTATTACTGTTAAGAGTTTTTTTTAACACATTTAATCTTTTCTTCGCACATTGCTTACTTTATAATTGCTAGAACTTTATAAAGGTAGGTATCATGGCTTCAACTTCTTGACTTCTCAAGGTTTCTAACCCAGGATCTTGTACTTAGTGGATTTTGCATTTTGTCTTAGAAGAAGATTACAATCTTGTTGCTTATGTTTTAGCCATAAAAATCTATAAAATATGTCATAAATCTATCAAGTATGTAATATATCACGTATAAATTATCAAGTATGGCAGTTGTTACTATAGATTAAGTCAATTTATTTTTCTATTTTGTTGGCCAAAGATAGTTGAAATATTAAGTATGAAGTGAAATTAATGATTTGGGGCTTTCTGCTGACGTCTAAGAAAAATTAAATTCCTAATGAATTTTGTTTGAAATTGTTTATTTTCAAATTATAGCCAGTCGGATGATGATTCTGGGTCAGCTTCAGGCTCTGGATCTGGTTCGAGTTCTGGAAGCAGTAGTGATGGAAGCAGTAGCCAGTCAGGTAGCAGTGACTCTGACTCCGGATCTGAATCAGGCAGTCAGTCAGAGTCTGAGTCAGACACTTCCCGAGAAAACAAAGTTCAAGCAAAACCACCGAAAGTTGATGGAGCTGAGGTAATCAATAAAATACCCAATGAAAGGTAGATTGCTTGTATTACTTTGGGAAAATTTAGAGGATTGGTTTATACCATTCTTAATCTAGCTTTTAGAGAAGACAGCGTTTTAAATTAAAATTTACTTTTAGTGATCCTCACATTCGTGGTGGTACACGTGTGGACTAATTGGCTTGGAATAGATGCATTTTCGAACTAGAAAACACAAAGTGTAAATCACATGCAGGCAAATAAAACGTTTTCTGCCTCTTACGCAGAAATTGAGTTTCATAAATATCCATTGTGTCATAGATACAAATTTAAGACATCCTGAGGTCTACTTGTTAACCTTACTGTGTATGATCTCTACTTTCAAGATCTTCAAAGGAAATACTTTATTGCTACTAGCAGAATAATTTGATGGAACTCAGATTCCTCAAAGATAATGATAGAATAGGATAAGGAGCTATTCTGTTTGAAAAAAACTACTACAAGAGATACAAAAACTTGTCTATACCTCATGGTAGTGTACAGTGTTACTCAGAGTACCTGTCTGTGATGAGATAAGATGCTTGAGGGCCAGAATATAAATCGACACACGCTTCCTTCATAGAAAAAAATGTTACTACTGCCCCCCACCAAATCTGAACTAAAACAATGTGCCTAGTGACATCGTTGGTGTATATTCTGACTCAGCCTCTTCACCTCACACTGATAAAATAGGTAACCACTCTATGAGTTGCACTAATAAAGCGTATTATCACTTAGATGCTCTTAACATCAAGAGGATATTGATTAACATTGTCTGTGGAACTCAACACACCATTTTTTTAATACATAACTAAAACTCAGCATTTTATTTAATTATATTGCAACGATAATCGTGTTACATATAGGTAAGGAAAATAGTCTTTATTACTTTGAGGCAGTAAAGATGGTGGTACAGTTTTTCAATAAATTAACCTTTTTTGCAATTTTCTTAATACTTCATCGTTCACTGGTTTATATTTCTATTATAGTTTTGGAAATCTAGTCCTAGTATTCTGGCCGTTCAGAGATCTGCAATGCTCAGGAAGCAGCAGCAGCAGCAGCAACAGCAACAACAGCAACATCAAGCCTCATCTAATAGCGGATCAGAAGAGGTGCATTTTCGTCATGAGCTTTTATTTTAAAAGTGGACATGCTGCTGAATCACTTAACTAGTATTTGGTGAAATTATTAAAAATAATAGGTGCTTTGAAAGAATAAGTAGGAAATACTTTAAGTGTATATATCAAGAATGTTGAAATGCACCTTTTGCATTATCCAATAATTCCAATTTTAGGGATTAATCCAAAATAAGCAGTGGGACATTTGTGTGCATTTGCTCATCACAGCAAAGTTAGAAATAAACTAAATGTGAACTCCGTGGGAAATAATTAAATTTGATATGCACCTACACACATATATCCATATAGATGTATGAATGAAGGAATATTATACCATTAAATCATATTTGTACAAAATAACAGAATTCTCAACATAATATTTTTGGAAGAGTAAATTGTTTCAACAATGTAGTTTTTGTGTGTGTGCAAGCATGCATACATGTATGTTTGCACAAAAACATTCAGGAAAAATTATAACAAAAAGTAATAGTAATGGTGAAGAAAAAATTCAAAACTTGGCATGCCGGCACCTAGGATTTCTTGTTTTGGCTATAGGCAACAATAATGGTCTCCAGAGAGGGTAGATTTTAAGGTTTTATACAAAATGCTGACATTTTGCTGTTTACTTAATTTCACTAGCTATATTAATTTGCAGTAAAAATGTTACTAATTCCTTTCAGCTAGTTAATATAAATAAAACTACATTAAAAAAGGTTTCACAAGTGCTGTTATTCGTAAAGTGAATGTTGTATAGCAAGTAAAATTTTGATATGGTTACATTCTAATCATTAGTGGATGATACTGACTTTATTTTTTTTCTGCAGGATTCTTCTAGCAGTGAAGATTCCGATGACTCATCAAGTGAGGTCAAAAGGAAAAAGCATAGAGAGTATGTCATTTTGTTCAACTGACTTCTTCATTTTAGAAAAATCTTAATGATTTCATATTTCTTTCTTTATGAAAATTGTTGCCAAAAGGAAAGTCTTCTAAATTCTTAGTTCTTGGCATTTTATAAAGTTAATTTACACCATTACACCATTTAAAGATAAATCTTATCTTTAACATTTATCTTTCTGTGACTACCCGAGGGTATTGTGCCATTTCTTTATCTCCTATAACTCCCCCTATATATTTTTAAACTTTAATGATCTCCTTAGTTGTAATGTCAGAAAATCTTAATAACTTGGGAATATAGGAGTATAGGGATGACAGGATGACTGATTTGGGATGATTCTTATAATTATGTTAATAGCTATCCTTACTATTCAGCTGCATGTGAAATTTACTTCGTACTGTAGAACTCATTCTAGAAACTCACTGTATTTTCCTAAAGATCTTGACCCAGCAAGTATTAAGAATACTTCAAAATATCAATCCATGTTTATTTTAATGGTTTGGAAACATTCCATTTTCTTGACTTTTATTTTCCTATTTGCCTTTGATATTCTGCCTATTAAAGTGGTTACTTGCTTTTCCCAAAAGATTCAGGCATTTTTAATGTGAAGACTCATATCTTTTATTAGTCTGTTCTATCTTTTATTCTGAAAGGTCAATCATTTATCTTTGGATTTTTTTTCCTTTCTCTTTCTACAAATCTCTCTGATCCTCCTATTAATAGATGTATATTGGATCATCCATTTTTTTTTTTCCGTTATAAAAATATTAAATGGAGACTTCTTGGCATGCAAGCCCTGAAAAGATCTCAAAGTAAAAAATTTGCTTCTATTATGTTTTTATCATAAGCAGATATGATCATATACGCTTGTTTATGTAGCCTTCATCATAGTTACAATTGGTGCAAAAGATACAGAGCAATGAAGCAGAAGCATAGCTGAAATAGGATATAGTGTATTTATAAGAATTCAGTATGTGCCTTTCATTTGAACTTCTTATGATAGCAAAATATTAACATCCATTATTTTTCTCTACATGTTGATTGGAATGAAGTAGACTTAATAGGCTAAAAATAATAAAAGTAAGGTACTCAGATTGAATGTTTGAGATGGTACTAATGTTGCTTTTGTTTTGTTTTTACATTTTTCTGTAAGCTTTTCTTAGTGAACGGGCGCTATTTAAAAAATCAGTTTAAAAAGATGTTTTTCAAAATCACAGCCTCTAGAGAATTAAAATGGCATGGATTAGTATCTCTTTTTTGAGAGGGCAAGTAGAATAATTTTACAAGATTTTCATCTATAGTGAAAATTAAAATATCATTTATTTGCTGTTCATTGACGTATAACTGATAAACAAAACTAGACTTGTGAGAGAAGTCTATGAAGAATATTATCCAGAGTGTGTTTATTCTGTAAATGCTTCATCATTTTTAGCATGAGTAAAAGCAACAGTATTTTTGATAATAACTGGAATATAGTTTAGTTGATTTGATCATCTTTGTATTAGGGATAAAATTTGCTGTATAAGTACAAATAAAAATACTTTTTAAATTTTGTCTACAGTGAAGATTGGCAAATGTCTGGGTCAGGATCTCCGTCTCAGTCTGGTTCAGATTCAGAATCTGAAGAAGAGAGAGATAAAAGCAGTTGTGATGAAACAGAATCTGATTATGAGCCAAAAAACAAAGTCAAAAGCAGAAAACCTCAAAATAGGTATGGTCTCAGTTTGGTGGTGAAAATTGATTGTAGAAGGTGTTCATTCTTTGTGTATATAGTTTTTCAAATCTTGGTTTTTTTTTTTTCTTCTTGTCCTTTCCTAGATCTAAGTCAAAAAATGGAAAGAAGATTCTTGGACAAAAAAAGAGACAGATTGATTCGTCTGAGGAGGAGGAGGATGAAGAAGATTATGATAATGATAAAAGAAGTTCTCGTCGCCAAGCAACTGTTAATGTTAGCTATAAAGAGGATGAAGAAATGAAAACAGATTCTGATGACCTATTGGAAGTCTGCGGAGAGGACGTTCCTCAACCTGAGGAAGAGGAATTTGAAACCATAGAAAGATTTATGGATTGTCGGATTGGGAGAAAAGGAGGTAGTTTTTTAAAAACCATTTATTGTTTGCTTATTTAAATAATATTTACAAGAGTAAAGGACCAGACGTAGTGGGTCACCCCTGTAATCCCAACACTTTGGGAGGACGAGACGGGTGGATCAACTGAGGTCAGAAGTTCTAGACCAGCCTGGCCAACATGACAAAACCCCGTCTCTACTAAAAATACAAAAATTAGTTGCGTGAGGTCGTGCGCACCTGTAGACCCAGCTACTTGGGAAGCTGAGGCAAGGGAATTGCTTGAACCCACGAGGCTGAGGTTGCAGTGAGCTGAGATCGCGCCACTGCACTCCAGCCTGGGTGACAGAGCGAAACTCCATCTCAAAAAAAAAAAAAAGAGTAAAGTGTTAAAGATGTTTCAACAGTGTTGAAAGCTAAGAGGGTGGATTTGTTGTTGTTTGACTTACGTTTTATAAAAGCTTGCTTTGCTTAGCCTGAGTATCTTCTTAATAACCATCTGACCACATTTTTTTTTTTTTGAGACGGATTCTCACTCTGTCGCCCAGGCTGGAGTGCAGTGGCGCGATCTTGGCTCACTGCAACCTCCACCTCCCGGGTTCGTGCCATTCTCCTGCCTCAGCCTCCTGAGTAGCTGGGACTACAGGCGCCTGCCACCACGCCTGGCTAATTTTTTGTATTTTTAGTAGAGACGGCGTTTCACCGTGTTAGCCAGGATGGTCTCCATCTCTTGCCCTCATGATCTGCCACCTGCCTTGGCCTCCCAAAGTGTTGGGATTACAGGTGTGAGCCACCGCGCTGGGCCTCCACCTGACCACATTTCCTATATTGTGGATAATTATAGAATAATGCTGTGGGATCTCAGGTGGACCTCTGTCTTTTTATTTTTTCTAATTTGAAAAAGGAGGGGATTATATTAGATAATTCTGAAATTCTTAGTTTTATTTATGAGCAATAGAATTTCCCATAAGTTTCTATACCCCCGATACTTTAAGAGTATTATGTTTTTGTGTTCGTATTTTTGAAATTTTGAGTTGAAATATAATCCTACAACAGAATTGATTACATGAAAGGATCTTATGCTTTTGTTTTCAGCTACTGGTGCTACTACAACCATCTATGCAGTTGAAGCAGATGGTGACCCAAATGCAGGCTTTGAAAAAAACAAAGAACCAGGAGAGATTCAGTATTTAATTAAATGGAAAGGATGGTCCCATATCCACAACACTTGGGAGACAGAAGAAACCCTCAAGCAGCAGAATGTTAGAGGAATGAAAAAATTGGATAATTATAAGAAAAAAGATCAGGAAACAAAAAGATGGTAAGTATGCTGTATGTCATACTTTTTTTTAATAGTTCAAAGATTACTAAGCCTTTATGTTAATAAAGAATAGATAGTAACATCAAATGATAGCCTAAAATAACTATAGACTTTATAATACAGTTGGCTGTCTTTGTCCACAGTTTTTCTATCCTTGGTTTCAACCCACCATGGATTGAAAGTATTCGGAGGGAAAAAAAAAAACAACAATCAACAATACAAATTAAAAACAATACAATGTAACAACTATTTACACTGTAAATGTAAAATTAGGTATTTTAAGAACATCTAGAGATGATTTAAAGTATAGGGGAGGATGTGTGTGGGTTATATTGCAAGTACCATGCCATTTCATGTAAGGGACTTGAGCATCCTCATATTCTGGTATCTGTAGAGGATCCTGAACCAATCCCCTGCAGGTACTGAGGGATGATTTTATTCCATCTCAAGGTAAAACTCCTAGGGGTGTACCTATCTAAACCTGCCCGTGGTAACAGTCACATAGAGTGTCTCATACATTATAAATTACAAATTTTTAGTTAAAAATTAATGATGCCTTATTCCTGTTAGTTTCTTTATTACTGAAACTTCGCCCACACGGTGGCAAAATGGAAGATTCTGTGCTACAAATAGTGTTGGGATTGGGGGAGTGACAGGTTATTTATGGGAGATTTTTAAGTCTGTTCCCGGATTAATAATTTTTCAGGTTGAAAAATGCTTCTCCAGAAGATGTGGAATATTATAATTGCCAGCAAGAACTTACAGATGATCTACATAAACAGTATCAAATAGTGGAACGTATAATTGGTTAGTGATAAATGATTCTGGTTAAAAAAACTTTATCTTTTTATGCTTGAAATAATCTGAAAAAAAGTCATAAATTTGCCACTTACAGATCAAACACAGTAGCTTGCTCTTACTAAAACAGTATTGTAAACTAGACAGCTAAATTTTACTCGTGTAGCCTTTACTAAGAATTGTGCATTTGATGATTAAATGTAAAAAAAAAAAAAATAAGTAAATGCCTGATTATCTCACAGCTCATTCCAATCAAAAGTCAGCGGCTGGTTATCCTGATTATTACTGCAAATGGCAGGGCCTTCCATACTCAGAGTGCAGCTGGGAAGATGGAGCTCTCATTTCCAAAAAGTTTCAAGCGTGCATTGATGAGTATTTTAGCAGGAACCAATCAAAAACCACTCCTTTTAAAGATTGCAAAGTGAGTATTGTCTAACATTTTAAATTATTAAAAATATATTTATGCATTATAAATATTTACAAGCCTAAATACAGCAGTTGGATCCTGATTTCAGATAGACTAAGGGAGAATAGTTCTTGGTTAATTGGTCTTACAGGAAGTGAACTTGCTGCAATTGTTGTGTGTTTTTGTTTTTTAGTTTTAGTTTTATAATTTTTTATTTGAAACTTTCTCTTAAAAAAATTGTAAACGGTGTTTTGGTCAGTATATCTTCTTAAATGTTGTACTGTCTTTTATCTTGTTGAGCATCGCTATGTCAGAAAGATAAGTTGGTTATGTCGATTGTTGGAAAGGGTTGGGAAACTAAATAGAAAAAAGCTCTTGGAAACTAGAGATATGCTCAATATTAAAGATAGTGGATATTTTCTTAGAAGGTAGAGAAAGAGGAGAGGGAGGGATATGGGAAAGTATCCAGAACTACCGTGCACAATACTTTCTGAATCCTTGTAACTTACCCAAAGTTACTAGTGATAGTGTTGAGATCTGTATAGTACTAGACTTTCTTTCCTTATTAAAAGAATTACATTCTTCATAGGGATAACTTGAAATTCAGAAATTGAATGGTAAGCTAAGCCAGTTTTATGGTTTATTTGTAGCTTAAGGCTGGAGCAATGGTTGTGAACAATTTAACATAGGTTTTGCATGTGATATACATGAGACTCATATTTTGGCAGGAACTTAATTTTCTCTATAAATTTTTGTTTAAAAAAGAAGGCAAAATATTTCACTTTTCATTTTTGTTAGAATAGTAGAAAACAGTATTGACTGAATCCTCAGATACATTTTGAGTAATGGAATTTCTGAGCTTGATGATGAGAGATGAAATTTAAGAATTTATGGTAAAGCTGAGGCTTTCATCTTTTAGTATAATTTCTTATATTTAATAATTCTACATAATTTTATTTCTGCTGAAGGTATTAAAACAAAGGCCAAGATTTGTAGCCCTGAAGAAGCAGCCATCCTATATTGGAGGACATGAGGGCTTAGAATTAAGAGATTATCAACTGAATGGTTTAAATTGGCTTGCTCATTCTTGGTGCAAGTAAGTGTATTTTGAATCATCTATTTAATTTGACAGAGTAAGAATTTTACCAATACAGAATTCAGAAAAGATTTCCATTTACATAAAGGATAAGACTTTGGCAGTTGATACGCTACTCTTTGTATTTCCTAGTTTATATAAACAATATTTATTACATACTAGGAAGAAAATCCAGTGGAGTTTGAGTTTAACTTGATTGTTGCCTTTTTAAAATACGTTTTTATTCTGTTTAAAAATCAAAATGCATATCCATTCTCATCCCATGCTGTTCCTGGAATATTCTCTTTTTTCCTAGTTATTTTAATATCCATTTAGTCTTCTACATTTTTTTTCTGTCCTCTGTGGCCCCCAGTCTACTTTTTGACTCTCAGTTGCAATTTAGCTGTAGGTTTTTTCTTTTAATCTATGTTCTTCCTATATGCTTTTTACTTATTTAATACTTAATATATCTGGACTCTACTAGTAGTAGATGAATTGCATTATTGTCTTTATAATTGATTAAACATAATACTATTAATCTTTAAGCCTCTTCTGGCCTAAAGTGGTCATCTCCTTTTACTTTTCTTACAACATTAGTGATGGAGTACCCAAATACCTTTACATTTATTATTTGTAGTTAATAAAAGTGATATATTCTGTATAATACCTATCAGATTAATTTTATTTAACTTCATATAAACATATACACATGATATAAAAAGGTTTCTTTGTATATTTGAATATTTTCTTCCATGCTAATTTTTTTTTAACTTTGTAGAGGAAATAGTTGCATACTCGCTGATGAAATGGGCCTTGGAAAAACAATACAGACGATCTCATTTCTGAATTATTTGTTTCATGAACATCAATTATATGGACCTTTTCTATTGGTAGTACCGCTCTCCACTCTTACTTCCTGGCAAAGGGAAATTCAGACATGGGCTTCTCAAATGAATGCTGTGGTTTATTTAGGTGACATTAACAGCAGAAACATGGTAAGTTGTTTCCCTGTAAATGTAGAAATAAAAATGTACTTGTCTTTGGGATCGAGCGTTTTTGTTGTTGTTGTTGTTGTTGTTTTGAGATGGGGTTTCACTCTGTCTCCCAGGCTGGAGTGCAGTGGTATGATCTTGGCTCATTGCAACTGGGACCACAGGAGCACACCACCACACTCAGCTAATTTTTTATATTTTTTAGTGGAGACAGGGTTTTGCTGTGTTGCCCAGTCTGGTCTTGAACTCCTGAGCTCAAGTGATCTGCCTCTCTTGGCCTCCCAAAGTGGTGGAATTACAGGCATGAGCCACCGTTCTTGGCCTAACAAGGATGAAGGGTTTTGTTTTGTTTTGGTCTTTATAAAAATCTTTGTTTCTGGCATAGAACTTGCCACAAATAAGTTCTCAGTACATGTTTGATTAACTATAACAAAGTCAATTTTGGTTTAGTGTTACTTCATATATATATTTGACTGGTTTTGTGTGGTTTTTTTTTTTTTTTCTTTTTTTTTTCTTTTCACTCTGTCATCCAGGCTGCAGTACAGTGGTACGATCTCGGCTCATTGCAACCTCTGCCTCCCAGGTTCAAGTGATACTCCTGCCTCAGCCTTCCAAGTAGCTGGCATTACAAGTGCCTGCCACCACGCCCGGCTAATTTTTGTATTTTTAGTAGAGATGGGGTTTCGCTATGTTGCCCAGGCTGGTCTCAGACTCCTGACCTCAAGTGATCCACCCACCTTGGCCTCCCAAAGTGCTGGGGGGATTTACAGGCATGAGCCACCACGCCCCCATATTTTACATTTTTAATGGAAAATTTCAAATATATATGAGAGAAGACAGAAGAATGTAATAAACCCTCATGTTCTCATCTTCAGTTTCACAAATTTACTGATAGTTTTGTTTTATCTATACCTCTTCACACTACTTTCCTAGTTACTGTGAAGCCAACCCCAGACATCATATTTCCTCCATAAACATTACATTATTAAATGAATTAATCACTAATGTTTTCTTAAATAAGACCTTTTGTGAAAGATGTGCTTTAAAATTGTGTTTACTTCATTTTTTAACAAATGCTGTGGTATTTATGCTTTATTTATAAGAGTTACATAGCATTTGGGACTATATAAAGAATAACTCAGGCCAGGCGCGCTGGCTCATGCCTGTAATCCCGGCACTTTGGGAGGCCAAGGTGGGTGGATCATCTGAGGTCGGGAATTCGAGACCAGCCTGACCAACATGGAGAAACCCCGTCTCTACTAAAAATACAAAATTAGCTGGGTGTGGTGGTGCATTCCTGTAATTCTAGCTACTCGGGAGGCTGAGGCAGTAGAATCGCTTGAACCCGGGAGGCAGAGATTGTGGTGAGCCAAGATCATGCCATTGCACTCCAGCCTGGGCAACAAGAGCAAAACTCTGTCTCAAAAAAACCACAAAAACTCTTTTATTACATAAACATATATTAATAGTCATTTACACATTTGAATGGATTTTTATTTTTAGATATGTAAGTAAAAGTATAATTTGCTTGATGTTTGTCTTAAAATTGTCCTTCAAATTTCTTGATAGATAAGAACTCATGAATGGACACATCATCAGACCAAACGGTTAAAATTTAATATACTGTTAACAACTTACGAAATTTTATTAAAGGATAAGGTATGTATTTATTTCTCACGTGTTTTTGTCTCTTGTATATCAGTTTTTTCTTTATCATATGCTGTGGCCAAGGTGAGAGAATAGCCTAAATCATGAGTCAGCAAACTATAGCCTGTGGTCTTATTTTTTCAATGGTGCTTGAACTAAGAGTGGTTTTTACCTTTTTGAAAGGTTACATTTAAAGGGTCGTAGAAAGAATATGTAACAGAGACCATATACTTGTCCACAAAGTCTGAAATATTTACTATCTGGCTCTTTTTAGAAAAACCTTGCCAACTCGGTCTAATGAAACTAGTTTGTTATAGTGTGTATTGATTTGTAAGCTTTTTAAAGAGGAGGAAGATAACTAATAGGATTAAGCTACCACTGTGTGAAGCAATGAAGGCTTTATGGATACTGCCTTACTTAATTCCTCCATCTACTTTATATTCACTTTCTCTACTTTATGGAAAAGAAAACGGGACTCAAGAGTGTCTCAAAGAATGTAATGAACTTGCCTATGGTAACACAACTCTTAAGTAGTGAAATCAGGCTTGCTGTAACTTGGAGACCTAAGTTTAAGAGATTTCTACAGTTCATAAAAGTTGTACAAAGAATTGTACCTGCACTTGGAATAAGACGCTGTTCTGAATTTGTGTCTTAGTTTTTTTTCATATTGACATTAATAGAGGCTTCTATTGGGCTTAGGCTAAAAATCTTTTGTAAAAATTTTCAATGACACTACTGATTTTTCTCTGTTAATTATGTTTATAAGCTAATAAAAACTTTAGCTTGATATTACGTTCTAGTGGTTAAATTTGTCATAGAAGGAATATGTGCTGAGTTACTTGTGTATTGTAATCTTGAAATTACAATTTTTTATTTGGAAATTAGACAAAGCATGTTTTTAATTTTTGTTTCATTTTAATAATAGAGTTCAGATTTAATGGTAAGGCTAAATCTGAATTCCATTTTTCTCTCAAAATATTGTTTTTCTATTTTAAGGCATTCCTTGGAGGTCTAAATTGGGCATTTATAGGTGTTGATGAAGCACACCGATTAAAGAATGATGACTCCCTTCTCTATAAAACTTTAATAGATTTTAAATCCAATCATCGTCTCCTTATCACTGGAACTCCTCTACAGAATTCCCTCAAAGAGCTCTGGTCTTTGCTACATTTCATTATGCCAGAAAAGTAAGACAAATTTACAATTTTAATCATAGTTTTGTGTGGTTATATTTAGTGGGAAGAAACCCAGGTAATAAGGTCAGTAAGAGTTTTTATTGCCCTAAAAGATTAGATCACAGATCACTAAGAATTTTTAAAAAAGGAAAATGAGGTCAGGTAGTTTGTAATACCATTTCAATTTTTCAATTTTGTTAGTAAACTTAAGCCATGTGTTATAAATCACAACAGTTGATTTTGCACATGTTCAAAATATACCTTGCTTGAAAAACTAACATAGTAACATTCTTTGTATTTAATAGTAGGAGTAACAACAATGAGGTGCTGGCAATCCTTTTTTCTAAATGAGGAAAACTAGACTAGACTAGGCTAAATAAGTTCCCTAAGGTCACTACTTGTTCTTTTTCAGTAGGTCCAGAACTTTAAAAGTATTTTTTTTTGAGAAATATTTTAGTGATAATTACTCCCATACCTCAAAATACTTCATATTCACTTGATTCAAGAATCATAACTTATAAAACTAATTATATTTCATCATGCATCTTCTTGGGAGGGAAATTTTTAGAAGTAACTAAGTTTTTTTTTTTTTTTTTTTGAGATGGAGTCTCGCTCTGTCGCCCAGGCTGGAGTGCGGTGGTGCGATCTTGGCTCACTGCAAGCTTGCAAGCTCTGCCTCCTGGGTTCACGCCATTCTCCTGCCTCAGTCTCCAGAGTAGCTGGGACTGAAGACGCCCACCACCACACCTGGCTGATTTTTTTGTATTTTTAGTAGAGACGGGGTTTCACCATGTTAGCCAGGATGATCTCGATCTCCTGACCTCGTGATCTGCCCATCTCGGCCTCCCAGAGTGCTGGGATTACAGGCGTGAGCCACCGTGCCCGGCCAGTAACTAAGTTTTTAGCTAATTTTTTATTCTAAAAATCTGTAGTATTTTGTTTATAAATGACTCTCCTAAAAAAAAAAAAAAAAAACTCATATGCAGTTTGACTTTTTCTAGTGATTGTTCCAATTTCTTAAATTTTAAAGGTTTTCTTCCTGGGAAGATTTTGAAGAAGAACATGGCAAAGGGAGAGAATATGGTTATGCAAGCCTTCACAAGGAGCTTGAGCCGTTTCTGTTACGCCGAGTTAAGAAAGATGTGGAAAAATCTCTTCCTGCCAAGGTTGAGCAGATTTTAAGAATGGAAATGAGTGCTTTACAGAAACAATATTACAAGTAAGCTGTACACAGAGCACATGTTCTGAACTTTTAATTCTGAATAACTTCCATGTCTGTGTCCTGCTCTTGGTGCCCCCACCTTCTCTACAATAGTGTCGTAGAGCAGTTGCAATTCTTGAGTTTTAGAATAAGTTTATTCTGTGTCGTTAGGAGGCAAAAGGAGATTTAATGACATGTCCAAAATGATGAGTAACAAGACTAATTTATCTTCTAACACATCATTAATTGCTTTCCTGTATATCATACTGTTACATTATAAAAAGTTTAAGTGTTAGGATTTCCACGATATGAAGGTATTATTTGATTATGACAGTTAACAGATAGAAGCCAAAAAAAGAAACTTAGAACAAAATTTTAGGCCCTGCTGCTTTTTGAAGAGTATTAACAGATCATAGCTGGTATAAATTTTGTATGTCAGGATCTATACAGTAGGACTTTCCAAAGAGTCAGAAAGGAAAATCTGTTCTAATATCTATTTAAACATTTAATTGCATAAAAGGAAATACATTGCTACATGCATTTGGCGTTTCGAAACATTTATATTTTATGGTAAATCTACTAGGTGCCACACATTTGAAAGAATATACTTACTGCATAATTATTTTTGTTATGGAAAATTTCAGACATGTACAAAAATAGGATAATTTAATGAACTCTTATACCCATGACTCAGCTTTACTTTTTTTGTTTGTTTGTTTTTTTTTTGAGATGGAGTCTCCCTCTGTACTCCAGGCTGGAGTACAGTGGCACGATCTTGGCTCACTGCAACCTCCGCCTTCCGGTTTCAAATGATTCTGGTGCCTCAGCCTCCCGAGCGGCTGGGTTTACAGGTGTGCCCCACAATGCCCTGCTAATTTTTTTATTTTTAGTAGAGACAGGGTTTTGTCATGTTGGCCAGGCTGGTCCTGAACTCCTGACCTCAAGCGATCCACCCGCCTCAGCCTTCCAAAGTGCTGGGATTATAGGTGTGAGCTTCTGTGCCCAGCCCCAGCTTCACTTTCCTCTCAAGCCAGTCTTTTTATGTATCTCTGATCATCCCCATTTCCCTCAGTAACTATCCTTTTGAAGCAGATCAGACATTTTTCCAAAAATATTTTTCTATGTATTTCTAATAATTGATTTTTAAAAATACTAGTATCACCTGGGCATGGTGGCTCATGCCTGTAATCCCAGCACTTTGGAGAGGCTGAGGGGGGACAGATCACTTGAGCCTCAAGAGTTTGAGACCAGCCAGGACAACATGGCAAAACCCTGTCTCTACCCAAGATACAAAAAAATTAGCCAGGAGTGGTGGTGGGTGCATGTGGTCCCAGCTACTTGGGAGGCTGAGGTGGGAGGATCGCTTGAAGCCCATAAGGCAGAGGTTGCAGTGAATCGAGGTCATGCCACTGCACTCCAGCCTGGGTGACAGTGAGACCCCATCATAAATAACCCACTTTAAAATTTTCACAATTTAGGAAATTATTGCTCTCTCAACAGAATCAAGTAATTTCTTGATGCCAGTATTCAGTATCTGTTCAGATTTTCTGTGTCTCAAAAAATTTTTTTACATTTACTCAAATCAGGATTGAGTTAGGTTCATATATGGCAATTGATTTGTCTCTGAGTTTATCCATAGGTACTTCTTTTTTGTTAAAATGTATACGATGAGGAAAACAGTTGTTCTGTAGAATTTTTCTACAATCTAGATTTTGCATAGTACTTCCCTCTAAAATAGTTTAACAGTATCCCCTGTATTCCCTATAGATCGGTAGTTAGATCTAGGTGCTTGATAATATTCAAATTAATAATTATGATAAGAGTATATTTTGTAGTACACAATGGCGATTATCTGATTTTGTTATCGGGTTCTTTTAAAAAAAGTAATGCATTTTGTAGAATATCTGGGAAGAAAAGTCAAAGTAGGAAGAAGATACATTCACCTGTAATTCTCTCAGTGCTAGTCATATATCATGAATGTTGAACTTAAACTCTTCAGGGTACTTTTTGGCAACTAAGGTAATAAGATACTGCCATAAATTTCTGGAAAGATTCTTAGAATTATTATCTCTAGAGAAATTAATAATAAACTTTTTCTGGATAAGGAAAAATAATTCTTTATTCTTGATTACCTCTTACGGCATTGGGCATTGTCCATGGATTTTGTTTTGCTTTTCATTCCAGTTTTGGGGAACTGCCTGTATAACTAGTGGTAAAGAATGGTAATAAAAGAGTATGTACACTAGATATTTGAGACTTTGAAGTCCCTTCAAAAACTGACCTTGTTAAAAGGAGGAAAATAAAAGGTGGAAAAGGTCGTGGTGAGAGGAAATTTTTCTTTTCTTTTTAAAATTCAGCTTTTATTTTAGATGCTGGAGGTATATGTGCAGGTTTGTTACATGGGTAATATTGCATCCAGGTAGTGAGCATGGTATGCAGTAGGTAGTTTTCAACCCATGTTCCCCTCATTCCCCCCTCTAGTAGTCCACAGTGTTACATGTTTATGTCCATGTGTGCGCAGTGTGTAACTTGCACTTATAAGTGAGAACATGCGATGTTTGGTTTTCTGTTTCTGTGTTAATTCACTTAGAATTATGGTCAACAACTATATCCATGGACATTATTTTATTTGAAGGACATCATTCCATCCTTTTTTTTCTGTGGCTGTGTAGTATTCATGGTATATATATATACAAAAAATATGGAGGGTTCATGGATTTGCATGTCATCCTTGTACAGGGACCATGCTAATCTCTGTATCGGTCCAGTTTTAGTATAAGTGCTGCCGAAGTGAGCACAGGAATTGTTACATATAGTTAGGAGCAGTAAAATAGCACCAAGGTGTTTTCTGTAAGTTGCATATGTATTGTGTAATTGCAATCTAGAGAAGACAGTTGTGGCTAAAACCAGGTATCCTCAGGTTTCTTTTAGGTCCATGTAGAAGATTCAATTTCATTAGATGTCTAATGCAGTGAAAGTTGTAAGAAGATTAAGATAAGTAATGCAGGCGACCATCTTTTTAGCAAATTTGAGGGGAAAAGGATTAATACTCTGTAATAATTATGTTACATTAGCCTGTTCTGTGTGTAGCTAATGGTTCGGAAAACAAGTTGTGTTCTCGTGAGTATTATGAAAGAGGCTTGGTCCATCATATATCCAGTTGTGAATTTCATAATGGTACAGTTTTACTTTGGTACTACCTTTTGCCTTTTTTTTTTGGTAAGCTTTTAGAATTTATCCTGGTAATTGTTCTGCTAAATGTCATTTTCATAATTTTTTTTTTTAAGATGGATTTTAACTAGGAATTACAAAGCCCTCAGCAAAGGTTCCAAGGGCAGTACCTCAGGCTTTTTGAACATTATGATGGAACTAAAGAAATGTTGTAACCATTGCTACCTCATTAAACCACCAGATAATAATGAATTCTATAATAAACAGGAGGCCTTACAAGTAAGAATTTTTAAATGTTGTTACTTTATGATAAAGTTCTAGAAATGTTGATTTCACTTACAATCGAAAATAGCTCAGTGCTTTAATATATTGGTTAAAAGTTCTCTTTAGTTAATGGTGCCTTTATATAATGGTCTCAGTTATTAATCTTTGTAGAAAAGATTTAAAAATTCTAATTTATCTAATTATTTTGATGAATTTTCTAAAAATATGTCTCTCAAACCATGGACTATAATGACTTATCCAGCAAAAAAATCCCACAGTATGTTCATAATTATGAAAAAAATCATTAATAGTAATTGTGCTGCATTAGTGATTTGGTAGATGGTAGTCTAAAGGACATCTTGACCTCACATCTTAATTAACCCTTCCTGGTACTTCTGGAAGATAAGTTAGAAGTGTGAAGGCACAACTGCAGTCCAGCCCCTGTAGTGCCTTGAAGGGCTGGGATCAGCATCTAGAATTAATACATTAGAATGCATTTGCTTACTCCTTTTAAACCTTTGGTTGCTTAGTTGCTGCTGCTTCCAGTGTAATTGTTCTTCAGCTAAGATTTTTGGAGAAACACTGTGGTGTAGTAACTAGCAAACAGAGTAAACAGTACTTTTTTCCTCCCTGACAATACAACAAAAACCTAGGTGTGATATGGCAAGGAATATTTTAACTTAAGTCATAGTGAAATGGTAAAGGTCTTAGAAAATTTTGAAAAGTGAAACAAGTTGTTTTCTAACATGAAAATTAAAAATCTCAAAAGAATTCAAGCAACTAAAGTGTTATGTGGACAACTTATTTACGTCATTTAACATATAACGACTTGAATTTATTGTTTCTGTAGCACTTAATTCGTAGTAGCGGAAAATTGATTCTTCTTGACAAGCTCTTAATTCGCCTAAGAGAACGAGGCAATCGAGTTCTTATTTTTTCGCAAATGGTGCGGATGTTAGATATACTTGCAGAATATTTGAAATATCGTCAATTCCCCTTTCAAGTAAGCATTTAATTGTATTTGTTGTTTTAAATTTTATCTAATTCCTGTGCATATTTTACAGTATTACCTTTGAAATTATTTTATAAGTGTTTAGGTTTTTATATAAACTGCACTTTCTTTAAAAAGATACATCTGCTTTAAAAAATGTTTGTCATTCCGTTTTTTCTTCATGACTTTACATATTGCAACAAAACAATTTTTCTTCCTTTCCTCTAATTTTTATTTTCTTTTAATTCTGCCTTTTTCTTCTGTGCTTGCTTTAGATTTTAAAAATTGAACTAAGACAGAGTTTTCTTGATTGGATAGATCTAAAAGCAGGGGAGCCTTTAGTCTTTAATCTGAATGAGGAAAACAGCCAGCAGCCTCTGAATGTGAATGCTGCCAAGATTCTGATGATTGGTGTGCTCATAGTTATCTGACACAGTGTTCGCTGAGTAAAACTGGACAACTTTAGAGAAGAAACTAAAGACCAAAATTCCCTTCCATCTATTCAAAATTTATGTTGAAGTTCATTCAGTATAACTAAAGCTAATATTATTGATGAGTGTTTAAAGTCAGGTGCTATTTTCAGTACTTTACATCTAATTATTTAATCCTTGAAGCAATTTTATGAACAGTGCTAGGAACCTAGCAGACATTATGTAGATACAGCTAGCAAATGGTGTATATTTAGTGTAGATAGTAAAATAGCAGTAAAATTATAATAATGGGACTCAACACACATTCCCTGCTTGGTCAGAGCTTATAATCTTTTACAGGAGACAGACATCAAGCAGGTGATTGCAAATAAATGTAACATTACAATTCTGGTAAGTGTTGTGAAGAAGGACAGGTATTTGGTGATATGAATATCATTGAGAAATAATTACAATCATTTAGGGGAAAACGTAGAAGAGTACCATTAGTTGAGGGTTTTGAAAACACTTTTACTGATATGTAATTCCCATATCATACAATTTACTCATTTAAAGTATACAATTCAGTGGTTTTTACTATGTTCACAGATATGTGTAATTGTCAGACAGGTGGTTTTAGAACATTTTCATCGGAAAGCAACTTGTACCCTTTAGCTATTCCTCCTGTCCTTCCATTTGCTTTCTTCTCCTGCCTTGTGTTGATTTGTTTTTAAACAAATTATTGTGTACCTGGTCAAACAAAAAATTAGTTTGACTAATTTTGAGTGTTTATAAGCACCACTTCTCTGCCGCTAATGCCTTCTTGTTCCTAGGTCGCTTCCTGGAGAGAATCATTTTTAATTTTATTTGGTTTAGGTCATGCCACAGTAATGAGATGCCACTATTCTTAATATTTGTACTAGTTTGTATTTTAGTGGAAAAGAAACATTATTTTTTTTAAAACCTTAATAGACATCTGTTTTCCTACTTTGTGTAGGTGATAATTAAGAACATTTCACTTAAACCGCTTAGAATACATCTTTTAAAATGTATATATTTTTCTTCTCAGAGTTAAAATTCATACAGTAACAAAGCAAAGGTAGGCATATGGCTTCCCAAAATACTAGTTTAATACATCGGTTAAATGCATGGATCACAGTAGACAAGTTATTTCTAGTCTATAACCAAGTAATAATTACAAAATCATTGCCATTTATAAAGTGAAATAGTAGCTAATGTTTAATAAGCATTCAGTATGTGTAGGCACTGTGCTACGTGTTTTCCTATGTTCTCTCACTGAGTTCTCTATAGTCTACGAAAGAGGGACTACTATTACGTCTGTTTTACTTAAAGCAGAACTGACATGGAGAAAAAGTTTGTGTAGAAAAGTCAAATCACTTGCTCAAGATACCCAGTAAATAAAATACTCATTTGCAGGATGTTGACTAGAGCCCATGATGCTTCACATCAATAATTTTCGAACTTTAGTGTGCATCAGAATTAATTGGATGGCCTTTGCTAAACCCCTTCAGTAGGTCTGGGGTAGGGCTGAATAATTTGCCTATCTATGTTCTCAAGTGACACTAATGCTGTTCTAGTAACCACACTGTACTTAATTGTAACCTGTTAATGGATCTGTGAATCAGTTTAATGGGTTACACCAACATTTTGAAAGTAAAATGATAAAACTTGAGAGTATAACACAGTATGTCATGGCATGATATGAAACTTGTTTCAGGTGTTTGTAAACAGCTGTGTACTCAATCACATACCTTTAGAATGGGACTGAGGCAGAATAGTATAACAGCCTATGCTGTATTTACTCTTGAGGGTGCAGTCTTAGTGATTTGGAGCACAGACCAAAGACGGAATGCCTGAGCATTATTTTACTGTCTAGTAGGTACCTTCTATTATAGTTTTAGCAAGACATGCTTCATATTTCTACTTAATTTTATAATTGCTTTGTAACATTTCGATTCTGTTATATGCAGTATTTTAATGTGTTTTATTCTAGAGATTAGATGGATCAATAAAAGGAGAACTGAGGAAACAAGCTCTGGATCATTTTAATGCTGAGGGATCAGAGGTATGTATTAATGCTTTTTAAATTATAAATAATTTTGATTTAGTATCAGTATATTACATTATTATATTCAGACATTTTTAATCTTCATATCTAGTTTGATAAAAAAGGAGTAGTGTTAGCCACCTTTGATCAGCAAACGAGGTTTTAAAGTCACTATTCTAGTTTAAACCTAAGAATTGCACTCTTTGAGACAGAGTCTAGCTCTGTTGCTCAGGCTAGAGTGCAGTGGCATGATCTCAGCTCACTGCAACCTCCACCTCTTGGGTTCAAGCTATTCTCCTACTTCAGCCTCACAAGTCGCTGGGATTACAGGCGCATGCCACCGTGCCTGGCTAGTTTTTGTAGTTTTAGTAGAGATGGGGCTTCACCATGTTGGCTAGGCTGGTCTTGAACTCCTGGCCTCAGGTGATTCACCTGCCTCGGCCTCCCAAAGTGCTAGGATTGCAGGTGTGAGCCACCATGCCCAGCCAATAATTTTACCGTTTATTATCAATACTGTTTCAGTATGGAACAGTTACTTTAATTTGCTTCAAAATAAATTAGGTAGATTGGGCACGGTAGCTCACACCTGTAATCCCAGCACTTTGGGAGGCCAATGCAGGAGAATCGCTTCAGGCCAGGAGTTTGAGACCACCCTGGGAAACAGTGAGACTGCTGTCTGTACAAAAAAAAAAAAAAAGTAAAAAAATAAACTGGGCGTGGTGGCACTCCCTTATAGTCCCAGTTACTTGGGAGGCTGAGTTAAGTGGATCAGTTAGCTCAGGAGTTTGAGGCTGCGGTGAGCTATGCTCATGCCACTAGACTCTAGCTCAGGCAATAGAGGTGAGACTGTGTCTCAAAAAAAGTAAAGACAAGACCCCAAAACAGCAAATTATCGCACTTTGCTTTAAATTTTTTTTTTATTTCCATAGATTTTTGGGAAACGGGTGATATTTGGTTAAATGTGTAAGTTCTTTAGTGGTGGTTTGTGAGATTTTGGTGCACCCTTCACCAGTATACACGGAACCAAATTTGTAGTCTTTTATCGCTCACCCCCTCCTACCCTTTCCCTCTGAGTCCCCAAAGTCCTTTGTATCATTTCTTATTACTTTGCATCCTCATAGCTTAGTTCCCTCTTATGAGTGAGAACATACAATGTTTGGTTTTCCATTCCTGAGTTACTTCACTCAGAATAGTAGTCTCCAGGCTGGGCGTGGTGGGTTACACTTGTAATCCCAGCACTTTGGGAGGCTGAAGCAGGTTGATCACTTGCGGTCAGGAGTTCGAGGCCAGGCTGGCCAACATAGTGAAACCCCATCTCTACTAAAAATACAAAAATTAGCTGGGTGTGGTAGTGCATACGTGTAATCCCAGCTACTTGGGAGGCTGAGGCAGGATAATTGCTTGAACCTGGGAGGGGGAGGTTACAGTGTGGCAAAATAAAAAGAGTGAGACTCCATCTCAAAAAACAAAAAAAACGAATATAGTCTCCAATCCCATCCAGGTTGCTGCGAATGCCATTATTTCATTCCTCTTTATGTCTGAGTAGTATTCCATTGTATATGTATACCACAGTTTATCTTCTTGTTGATTGATGGGCATTTGGGCTGGTTGCACATTGTTGCAATTGCAAATTGTGCTGCTATAATCATGTATATACAAGTATCTTTTTCATGTAATGACTTTTTTCCTCTGGGCAGATACTCAGTAGTGGGATTACTGGATCAAATGGTAGTTCTACTTTTAGTTCCTTTAAGGAATTTCCACACTATTTTCCATAGAGTTCTTTTTTTTTGGTATGTGCCTTTTATTTTTTAAGGAAATAAAATTTACAGTTCGAGTTGAAGCATCATTCCTTTCCTATTCCATTTTCTTTTTTTTTTTTTCAACAGAAGTAAACACTATATTGAATTTGGTATTAATAACATATATATTTGATTTTGGAGTCTTTTTGTTGGTTGGTCTTGCTAGATGTTTATGTATTAGTTTTAAAAACTGCCTTTTTGTTTAATTAGTAACATGCTGTTTAAGTTCAGAAAATTAATTGAAAAATTTTCATTTTGATTATTCAATTTCTTACAGGATTTTTGCTTTTTGCTGTCTACAAGAGCTGGAGGTCTAGGGATTAATTTAGCCTCTGCCGACACTGTTGTTATATTTGATTCCGATTGGAATCCACAGAATGATCTTCAGGCACAGGCTAGAGCCCATCGAATTGGGCAAAAGAAACAGGTATTTTTAATTTTAATTTGTATTATGTTGCTGTTTTAGAATTCTTTTTTGGGAGGGAATGGTTTCAGTGTATCTTCTAGAGGGTAAGATCACTGCAACAGTCATACTACTATTTAACAGATAGGATGCTAAGGAGCTTGGTTTACCAAAATCACCTGGAGAATATGACAGAATTGAGGTAACTATGCATAAATAGGATCATGTATGCTGTTTTTATTCTGTGTTCTAGTCATAACTATGAAATGCAGTGTTTTTCAATTATAATAAAAGTCTACTTGCTTGTTTTAACTTGAAAGAGTTTGAGTAGCATATGCTGCCTTTCTGTTAGTGTATATTTTGTCCATGTGCTTCCAAGATTCTCCACATATAATATGTGACCCCATTTTTATAATTGTAACAAAATACCCTTAAATGGTGGTACTGAACCTTTACCTAGAGAAATAGGGAAAATTTACTACACCAATTTTTTTTCAATTTTGAAGAGTTTGTTTTATGGTGGGCTTCTTATTAATTAACTTGGGGAGTGGTTCATAGAATTTTGCATTATATAGAGTGATGAAACATTAGAATCAAGGCAGCGAGTATAATAAGGCTGTCAGAAGTTTATGTGCTCCCCCCCATTTTCCCCAGCTAAATCATAACTTACAAATTACTGTCTTTCCTTTAAAAAAAAAGCAAAAATAAGCAAATGCAGTCTCCTTGCCAAAATGTTAAGAAGGAAGGAAGGATATATTTCAAAATAGTTTGAGTTGAGGAACTCTAGCTTTAAACATGTTTTTTAAATTTTCATTTTGCTTTTAACCCGTGAAAACTTCATGTAGTGTAGAATGAGCTTCAATTTGTGTGCCAATGTTTAGGCACTTGAAGTTAGCAAAACAAATCCTTTATGCTGCAATTTGTTTCCTCGTGTCTGTTTTTACAGGTGAATATTTATCGTCTAGTTACAAAGGGATCAGTTGAAGAAGATATTCTTGAAAGGGCCAAAAAGAAGATGGTTTTAGATCATCTTGTAATTCAAAGAATGGACACAACTGGGAAGACAGTACTACATACAGGTTCTGCCCCATCAAGGTGGTTACTTTATTGTTTAAAAAATGTCATTTTAGAGTCAGGAAACTCATTTTTTTGATATGTTACATCACTATAGATCATTGAGGAAATGTATTCAGTGTTGTACTTTTTATATTTTGGAAGACTTTTGACTAATTTCTAGTTAGAAGACATACTTCAATACCTGGTTTCATCGCTATAGATTTGTAATTTTAGGGATAATCTCTTTAACTTCTGTGCTTCAAGTTCCTTATTTTAAAGTAAATATACTGCCCTAGACAACATGGTGAAACCCCACCTCTACAAAAAATAAAAAACTTGATGGGCATGGTGACACACGACTGTAGTCCCAGCTACTGAGGAGGCTGAGGCAGAAGGATCAGTTGAGCTTGGTAGGCGGAGGTTGCAATGAGCTAAGATTGTGCCAGTGTACTTCAGCCTGGGTGACAGAGTGAGAGACTGTCTCAAAAAAAAAAAGGATACTAATACTTGATTCATCTAACTTCCTCATGTAACTTTTGTAAAGGTGAAAATGTCAGTAATTAACAAAAGTGCTGTGTAAATATTTTTAACTGATAATGTTAAGCATTTTTGTTTTTCCTCTTTTAGTTCTACTCCTTTCAATAAAGAAGAGTTATCAGCCATTTTAAAGTTTGGTGCTGAGGAACTTTTTAAGGAACCTGAAGGAGAAGAACAAGAGCCCCAGGTAAAAAAACAAAACAAAACAACAAACCCGCTTCAGAATATGTGTCATCTGTTTGGTAGGATGAAAGGATTCAAGTATATTTAAATATTGTTTTTCTAATTATAGGAAATGGATATAGATGAAATCTTGAAGAGAGCTGAAACTCATGAAAATGAACCAGGTCCTTTAACTGTAGGAGACGAATTGCTTTCCCAGTTCAAGGTAGATTTAAACAAAATTTTCCTTGTAATTACATAAATTGAGAGGAATTGAATTATTGTCATTTAGTGGTTTGTTAATCTTTCTTTAAGCATAATCAGGAAGATTGCTATGTTGTATAAAAACTACTCTCCCTTGTTCAGACAAACCAGTAGCAAACTGATTTGAGAGAGACCAGATCCATTTATGAAGTTACATGTTGTTGGGTGGAAAGAGCTGTTGTTTGCTAATTAGCAACTAGAATAGTGCTTGGCAAATAGCATGTCCTTAAATACTTGGGTAAGTAAATGAATCAATGTGATCTCTTACTTAGATTTCCATGACTGAAAGCTTTCGGCTGATTTTTTTTGAAGCAGTTTTTGACATTAACTTATCACAAATAAGAAAACTCAAGTAAATCAGTCAAAATAAGCAATAAGCTACTATATATTGATACTTAATATCCCTGGTTTTTTGAGGGCCAGTGAGTTGAAAGGAGTCCTAAAACAACATAAGTCAACTGACCTCATGGAGTAAGTTAAGTGCCATTTGTTTAAAGAAACAGGCTTCTCTACATCTTAGCTATTTTCTATGAACTGCAGTTTTTAAGGGTCAGTTCATTTCATGTGTTCATTTGACAAGTATTTATAGAACATCTGCATGTACCCCACACAGTGAATAAAAAACTTTTGTAATTTTAATATCACTCTGGCTGCTATGTGGATGACTGACTGTAGTGAGACAAGAGCTATAGCAGGGAGATAAGATAGAAGACTGTTGAGTAATCCTGGTTAAGAGGTGGTTTCTGGGATTACAGGCGTGAGCCACTTCGCCCGGCTGTGATAGTTAGCCTTAATGGGTGCTTTCTGTATACCAGACCTTGCATAGTACCTTAAATGTGCTATCTTATATAATCCTCCCAGAAGGTAGTGTGCTCTCAAAGAGCTCTGTGTCTCTGCCAGTAGCTCTTTGCTGCCAGTAGCTCTTTAGATTGTGTTTTTGTGATCATAAAAATGATATTAGATTGTTCTACAATACTTGATACATGGACTGGTCTGAGAATTTCTGCAGATTATTTAGCATCTTAATAGTATAAATTACTTTTTTTTTTTGTTCTGTTAACTGCTTTTAGTTCTGAGATGCTACTAATTTTGTTGAGCAGTAGGGCAAAAGAAAATCTTTCCTAGAGGATTATTAGATGTCATTTGTTTGATCTGCTTGTGAGATAATGAATGAGGTAATGAATCTAGGTTGTTTAGAAGTTATTTTTGGTTTGGTCCACAGTCATATTCATTATCCTAAGGATATTTAGGCATGTCAGTTTCTTCCCTTTAAAAAAAAAATTAGGGATCAATTTTTCTATAACAGTTACTCTTAAAATTCTGAAATTTATCAGGTTGCCAACTTCTCAAATATGGATGAGGATGACATTGAGTTGGAACCTGAAAGAAATTCAAAGAATTGGGAGGAAATTATTCCCGAAGATCAAAGAAGACGATTAGAAGAAGAAGAAAGACAAAAGGAACTTGAAGAAATTTATATGCTCCCAAGAATGAGAAATTGTGCAAAACAGGTGATTTTGCAATTTTAAAGATGTTTCTATAAAGTAGAGTATTCAACCTGGACCGATTTTGTTTGTTTCTATGAGGTATCAGTCCATAGTTTTCTTTTCTTGTAATGTCCTTGATTTGATAATGTTTGCCTCATGAAATGAGAAGTGTTTACTCCTCTTGTATTTTATTCATCTTTTCAAAGAACCAGCTGGTTTCATTGATTTTTTTGTGTGTTTTTAATTTCATGAGTTTCTGCAATTTATTATTTCTTCCTTTCTGCTTTTGATTTAATTTGCTCTTTTCTTTCTTTCTTTTTTTTTTCTTTGGGACAGCATCTTGCTCTGTTGCCAAGGCTGGAGTGCAGTGGCACAATTCTGGCTCACTGCAACCTTAACCTCATGGCCTTAGATGATCCTCCCACAGGTGTGCCCCACTACACCCAGCTGATTTTTGTATGCTTTCTGTAGAGATGGGGTTTTGCCACATTGTCCAGGCTAGTCTGGAATTTCTGGGCTTCAGTGATCCATCCGCCTTGGCCTACCAAAATGTTGGGATTATAGGCGTGAGCCACTGCACCTGGCCTCTTTTATTCAGTTTCTTAAGGTGCAAGCTTAGATATAGAAATGTAACCTCTCTTTTCTAATATCGGCATTTAATGCTACAAATTTTTCTTTAAGCATTGCTTTTTCTGAATCTTCCAAATCTATCTTTATATTTTCCTTAATTTAAAAATATTTTAAAATTTCCCATGTGACTTCTCTTTGACCCATAGGTATTTTTAGAAGTATGTTTTAAAATGTTCAGGTATTTAGGAGATTTTTCAACTATCTTTGTTAATTATTGGTAATTTAATTCTACCATGTTCAGAAAGCATACTTTATGTAATTTTAGTTTTTAAACATTTGGTATTTATTCAGTGGCCTAAGTAAACAAATATCAGATTTTTAAATAACTGTAATAGTGCCATGCCAAGCTATATTGCCAAAAAGGAAAAAATTCTAAGACTAATTTCTTTTTCTATTATCCTTTGGTTTTTAGGATATTATAAAATTATTTGTCTTGATTACTGAGTTTTTTGGTGTTTCCTTAAATTTTAAGCCTGGGGCAAATGAGGGGCTTGCCCCACTCTAGTCCCTGCCCTGCTACCATTCCCCCAAGAGTAGAGTTTTTTGTTTTTTATTTTCTTGCAACCATATTAGATCTTATTCTGTGCCCTCAGTTGAGCAGATGAGAAGGGTCTGGCAAGGCTTCCTTCCTGTTTCCACAAAGGTGACTGCTCACTTTCTCTAAGGCTGTACCATGGAGAAAAGTTTTGTCCAGTCTTCTACCGTGCTGCTTTCTCATGATCACATAGTGGAAGTTTGTGGCAGAGTGCCTGAGAATGGGTGCAGGTCCTCCGAGTTTTGGCTATTAGGTCCTATGATCTCACAATAGCCTATACTCAGCCATTAGCAGATTTTAGCTGATACCGTCTTGTATGGTACTTGATTTCTGTCACCTATGCTGTCCACAAATGAGCCACTGTTCGAGTCCTATATCTTTTTCTCTTTTTGCAATCTCCTGTATTTCCTTACATTTAGATGTATAGGTTGCTCTGAAATTCATCTCTCTGATGTTAAACAGAAGAATTAGGATCTTGTAGATCAGATTTGTTGTTAGAGTAGGAGCAGTGCCCCTACCAAGTTTCTACATAACAGCCAGAAGTGGAGCCAAAAATAATGTTTTTGGCCTAAAAGTAACCATGTATGTTATTTCTTGTTTCTGTTTATTTCTTCAAACCCCTAAGTAGTTTTGTTTTAGAGTGTGTGAGAATGCAGCATTACATTAGATCTTGTGAAAGGATTAAGAGAGGTTAGAAAAAATAAGGTCTAAATACCATTTTTTACTTCATTTAAGTTTCAGCATATTAGAGGTTCAGAATATGTGCCAAAGCTTTGGAAAAACTCCCAAGACTTACAGAATGTATGTTTTGATGTATCCCATTAAAATTAATGGATGTTACAAATAGTCTTTTATGTGGGTTCAACTGGCATTTTTTTCTTTCAAATATCTGACTTGTCTAGTTAGAATAGCAATATGTCGATATTAAGCAGAACAGAAAAAAAGGGACAGTTAATCAATCCGTTCCCTCAGAGATAACGACTAATATTATCACAGTGTACATCATTCCAGTTTTTAAAAATTCATTATCATTTGCCAAATTAAATTGTGGAGTCATATTAATTTGGAACTTTTTCTTCTTTTTGACAGTATGTCATGAATGTTAACTATTCTACAACCCCGTTTTTAATGGTCTGTTAGCATTCTATCATATAGATTTGTCTGGTCTTTCTTTGATGAGTATTTAGATTATTTGCTTTTTGTTTTTGAGGCAGGATCTCACTGTGTTGCTCAGGCTGAAATGCAGTGGTACAATCATGGCTCACTGCAGCCTCAACTTCCTGGGGTCAAGTGATCTCCCACCTCAGCCTGTCAAGTAGCTGGAACTACAGGTGCATGCTCCAAAAATGCCTCGTTAATATTTTAAATTTTTGGTAGAGACAAGGTGTCACTATGTTGCCTAAGCTGGTCTTGTACTCCTGGGCTCAAGTTATCTTCCTGCCTTGGCCTCCCAGTCATGCTGGGATTACAGGCATGAGCTGTTGCGCTCAGCCACATTTTTCTTTTATGATGTAAATAACTTTATTGATCAGTGTTTCTTCACAGTTGTGATCTCCTCAGGAAAAATGCCTAGACGTTATGTTGCTGGGTCAGAAGAATAACTTTTGAGGCTTTTGATGTAACATTGTCTCATTACCCTTTAAGTCAAAATACCCACCAGATGTATATATTTTTCTGTTTGCTTTTTAATTTTGTTTATGGAATGTTTTTGATACTTTGAATAACATTTTTAAGATTCTGACCATCTTTTATAATGGCTTTTGCTCCTAAGATAAAAGCTGTTTTTACACTAAGGTTGGGTAAATATTTATTTTCCAATTCCAGATTAGTTTCAATGGAAGTGAAGGGAGGCGCAGTAGAAGTAGGAGATACTCTGGATCTGATAGTGATTCCATCTCAGAAGGGAAAAGGCCAAAGAAACGGGGAAGACCACGGACTATTCCTCGCGAGAATATTAAAGGATTTAGTGATGCAGAAATTAGGCGGTAAGATGATATAAGACAATCGCTTCAACTTAGTAGAGTGTGAAACTAAAATATAAAAATTTCATAATTTTCAAAAATTGTGATGAAGTTTTAGAAGAGGCAAATGTATGTTATTTGAGTAGGAATTGGGTGGTTCTGCTTTTGGGTATTATAACTAACAAGTTTAGTGTCTTACCTTTGCGTGTTATTTATTTATTGCTAAACTACTTAGGCTGCAAAAATTTTTTTATTAATTTGACTCAGAATAGTGATCCTTTTGAATAATAAAAGTGTTTATGATACATTTGGTTTTTTATTAAAATTTTTTATTAAAAATTCTCACTGCATTTAGGACTCCCAGTTACTAATATTTTGTAGAAGTTCTGTATTTTCCTAGTTTCTTAACACCAAGGTCATTTCCTTTTTGAAAATAACCCTGTTATAAAACCTTTTCTGATATGTTGAAGTAGGAATTGAGGTGAGGTAAGATTGACCATGCAGGATAAATTGTAATGTCCATTCAGAATGTTTATATATACACATTTATTTAAGGGGAATGGGATAACGGCTTACTTTTGTTTGTGTAATAGTTTTGGATATGAAATTTATTAAAATCTTGTTCAGTTTTGTATTTTGAAAGTTTGTTTCTTGCAAGCCATTGTAACTTTTTTCTTTTAAATCTTAGACCTGACAAAATTCTTCCTCATTCTTTCTACCAGAAAACTTAATACATTGTTAGCCTTTTTTAAAGGTACTGACCACCTGAATTGCTGGACTTTTCGTCTTTAGTTGAGGAAGCATTTCGACTTCTGCTTTACCTGGATATTTTTCCTCATTTATTAACCACTTATGTAGCTTTCTTAAGTAAAATTTTAATTTTTTGTTGTTGTAATACCACGCATCTGAATTAAAGCCATTCAGTAAATTTTTATCAGCACTTGGAATGTGAGGAAGTGTAATATAATTAATAATTATTATGGAGATACTTCCTATGGTAGCTTCAGACCTTTTTTGGTCTTATGAAAATAATAAAGTAATTTTTAAAACAAAATTTAGCTTCTACTGTTTTATTTATACTGATATCTCTAAACATCATCCTGGGTGTTAAAATATGCCTTGTCTTACCTGCTGTATCTTAATGTTTTAACATTTTTGTTTTTAGCATAGTTGATTCATTCTTCTTAGATAACAGTGCCTTGAATTAATTTTTATACTAACAGGTACCTTCTTATATCTGTAAATATTAGAAATACCTATATTTTTAGTGAATACTGAAGCTCACATTTACCAAACAATTATTTTGTCTTAGGTTTATCAAGAGCTATAAGAAATTTGGTGGTCCTCTGGAAAGGTAAATACATTTATTATTCTCATAGAATAATGGAATGTGTTACATGCTGTCAGCTTTGTTTGTGTTAACATTCAGTTTAGCTACTTTGTTAAATTTGCTTTTAATCGGCATTTACAAAATTAATGTACAAGACAAATTTCAGATTGATTTTTAAAAATGTTTTTATACTATCTTTAATTTCTAGTCTCAGATTTCTTTCCTGTAAATGAAGTTATTTATACAGTACATGTTTAAATTGCACTTTTATGACTGTAAGACACTTTTTACAGTCTTTATCTCATTTTTCATCAGTAACTTAAAAGTAGCATAAGCAGATTTATCCATAGAAGGGCTGAGTTGCTAATCCAGTCTTTTTCTTTTGGAATGGAGACTCACTCTGTCTGCCAGGCTGGAGTGCAGTGGCACGATCTCGGCTCACTGCAACCTCCGCCTCCTGGGTTTATGTGATTCTCCTCCTTCAGCCTCTCAAGCAGCTGGGACTACAGGGGTGTGCCACCACATCCAGCTAATTTTTTTTTTTTTTTTTTTTTTTTAAGTAGAGACAGTGTTTCATCATGTGGTCCAGGTTAGTCTAGAACTCCTGACCTCAGGTGATCTGCCCGCCTCAGCCTCCCAAAGGCTAACACAGCCTTTTAACCAGCTCTACTTTCCCTAACTAGAGATATTTTCTTAATTTTCTCGAATTCATTCTCTTATTATACAAACTGTATTGAAATTCAAATTAAGACAGTTTTTTGAAGTTATCATATAATCTCACTAAGTATTGTGATTTGGATATTCTTTGCCCTTTGTTGTGGTCAACCCACTGTTTGAATATAGACCAGCAAAGACTCAAATTAGTTTATTTTTTATCTAAAAAATCCCTTCAAAAATAGACATATTTTCTGTTTCATTTTGAGATGGCATACTTAAAATATAACAAAATACTTGCATAATTATTTTAGATGAACAAAAGTCTTGAATATTAATCATTCATATTATTTGGTGCAGAGGAATAAAAAGTTACAGAACTTTACTCAGCTTTTTTGTTTACAATTATAAAACTTCACCACTTCATTTTGAACATCTTAAAATTTGATCAGTTATTAAAAGCTTTTACAGAATTGGTATGTAATCTTCCATTTGCTCTATAATTAAGTAAACTTATTGAATATATAAATGAATTGTTTCTCTGCCACATTGTCCGTGTTTTTATGTGCTTCCTGCCATTTATATGAACAAGAATATATAGAGCATGCAGTAGAGTAGCATTTAGATCTTGAAATAGAGTGAAACTTAGTTTATCTTAAATGGCACCACTTCATTTAACATATTTACCTGAAAATGGGATTATTTTGTTACAGATTAGATGCAATTGCTCGAGATGCTGAATTAGTTGATAAGTCGGAAACAGACCTTAGACGACTGGGAGAATTGGTACATAATGGTTGCATTAAAGCTTTAAAGGATAGTTCTTCAGGAACAGAACGAACAGGTAACATTAAAATGAGAGTGATTTAAAAGAGAAGTAAATGAAAGTTTCAAAACATGCTTTGTTGAGCTAGATATTATATCTTAAATTATCTATTCATCAGTCTCAAAAGATTATTTATGAAACAAAGTAAAGCCATTCTGGGTAATAGGAAATGGAGAACAGAATTGCAATTTGAAGGCAGTAGAATCTGTTTTTAATTCCGCTGACATTTTCTGTCTGAGAGGTAAGGTCAGAAATTACTATCAGTTATATATATGTGTGTGTGTGTGTGTGTGTATACATATACGTATATGTGTATATACACACACAATACAATATGTATAGTATCTATAGGATTTTTTAGTATAGATGACTGGGAAAATATAATGCAAATATACATATGTGATATTGGCTTGGTACATAATTATTTTATTATTATGCTTATTTTACAGTTCATTTACCTGAATAAAAATATTTAGATAAGATTTAATAAGCAAGCCAGTCATAGTGGCTCATACCTGTAATCCCAGCACTTGGGGAGGCTGAGATGGGGGTTTAGCTTGAACCCAGGAGTTTGAGACCAGCCTGGGCAACGTAATGAGACCCCGTGTCTAAGAAAAATGAAAAAATAAAAATTAGCAGGGTGTGATTGTGCATGCTTGTATTCTCAGTTACTTGTGAATTGAGGTGGGAGGGTTGCTTTAGCGCAGGAGGTCGAGGCTGCAGTGAGCAATGATTGCACCACTGCACTTCCAGCCTGGGTGACAGAGCGAGACCCTGAGTCATCATCCTATAATTCTTTATTTAGAGGTTGATGGTATTAATAGATTGATCCATCTTATGTAATTGGTAAAACACTTAGATAAATACTTTTCGTGAATCTACATCTGCTAGATGATAGTCACTAGTTCATATGTAATGAAATTTAAGGTTTTCCAGTAATCTCTTAATAACATAAATAAAGAATACTTATTGTTAAATAACATAAGTAATAGCATCAGTTGCTTGGTGTTTTATAGAATTATGTTTTATACTTTTAAAAATACTCTTTTTTAAAAAAAAATCAAGGTGGTAGACTCGGAAAAGTGAAGGGTCCAACATTCCGAATATCAGGAGTACAGGTGAATGCCAAGCTAGTCATCTCCCATGAAGAAGAATTAATACCTTTGCACAAATCCATTCCTTCTGATCCAGAAGAAAGAAAGCAGTGAGTTACTTATTTTCTCCATTGTAAGATTTTTCTTAGTCAATAATTACAAAATGAATGTGCTTAATTTTTATGGTGTTATTGGCTAGTTATGAAAAAAAAAAGAAATAAAGCATAGTATTTTAAAGTTCTAATGACTCACGTTTTTCAAAATTAATTTTTCATTAAGGCAATTACAAACTTACCATTAGTTATTAACTTTAATGCCAGGTATACTATCCCATGCCACACAAAGGCAGCTCATTTTGATATAGACTGGGGCAAAGAAGATGATTCCAATTTGTTAATTGGCATCTATGAATATGGATATGGAAGCTGGGAAATGATTAAAATGGATCCTGACCTCAGTCTAACACACAAGGTACTTCTATTTCTTGATTCTGTTGACCATTCATGTTGAATTTAATTTATTCTAATTCTTACTTTTATGTTGGAAATAATGGAAATATGTAAACCAAGGCTCTAGCTAGTTGTGTGATCTTGGTGTATTTAGAAGATGACTTGCATGAAAAGATGAAATTTAAATGATTTCTGAGATTTTGCATTACTGTGAAATTATATGTCATTAAGGCATTAGGTGTATTATTTTTCAGATTATTAGGTTAAAAGTTTTATTCTACCAAAAATTTTTTGATGCATAGTAGATGTACATATTTTCAGAGGCGTGTGATAATTCAATACAATCATATAATATGTAGAGATGAAATCAGGGTAACTGGGACATTATCACCTTAAATATTTATCTTTACACTAGGAACATTCAAATGATTCTTTTCTAGCTATTTTATAATGTATAGATTATTGCTAACTATAGTCACCCTACTCATCTATCAAACACTAGGTCTTATTTCTTCCATCTAACTATATATTTGTACCCATTCATCATTAATTTTATTATTCCAGTAAGACAAAATCATTAAAATCTTTTATATATATTTTTAAAAACATCGGTATTTTAGTATTTTTGGTCATTTGGTTGCACTGTGCTAGCTGAAATCTTTTTTTTTTTTTGCCTAAAACGGGAAACACTGGGAGAACTTCCTTATTGTTTATACTTATGTGTTGGGAACCTTTAGATATTGGTGCTTTGTTACTGTGAAGAAAAAATTAAGTAGTCTAGATTCCCCTATAAAACTTTCCTCCCAGTGTATGCTTTAGGTCTTCTTCTAGAAAGATGACATCTTGTATTCTAGGAATTTTTGTGTACATTATATATAAATACACTTTTACTGAGAAGGGAAGGCATTTAAGGATTATATAACATGGAATAATAGTGGATGTTAAGTACACTTTTGTATATTTGAAGGAAATTTACAACCTCATACTTTCTATTTTCATTTTGAAAGATAATATGAGGGTATTTAAAGTATATTTAGAATTCATTCTCAGAAAAATTAAATCTTTGGCTCTGGCATAGGTATAAAAAATGTATTTTGCATTGAGTTTATTCCTACAAATACTAATAATTGAAACTTGGTGAACTATATGTGTATATATATATTTAAATGGTTAAGCATGTTTTACCCAATTTCTCATGTTATTTATTAAGACAATGTGAAAACGTTAATTGCTTTTTCAGATTCTTCCAGATGATCCTGATAAAAAACCACAAGCAAAACAGTTGCAGACCCGTGCAGACTACCTCATCAAATTACTTAGTAGAGATCTTGCAAAAAAAGAAGCTCTTTCTGGTGCGGTAAGTTAAGGTCCACATGCCTAAGACCAGTTTACTTTTTAGTAAGATAAATTTTGTTTACTTGACCATGCTAAACATCTGAAGTCAATATGAGCTTATATAAATAGGTTTTTCTATAATTAAGTAGTTTTATTTGATGTTGCCATATTCAAATTTTACCTTAAATTATCTCACCATACATGTTAAAACTGGTGAATCATAGCTTTTAGAAGTAGGATTGTTTTTTTTCTAGTTTTAGAGAGGGATAAAGAAAATTCGTTTAGAGTGTAGAGTGCTTTTCGAGAAGTCAAGCCTACATAGCCTACATTGACTGTTTTACTTGGAGTCATTAGAGTGCTTAAGGGACAGCATCATAGCTTGCCGAGCTTACTGAAAAAGAACGAAACAGACACCAAAAAGGAGGTGATTGGAAACTTAGAGCAACCGTTAGAAGTTTACCTATGACCATAATGTCAGTAACTACCTGTAGCATTAAAAATCATTCCTAATGCTGTCTCTTGTGCTATTGAATTAAGCTGAAGGTGATAATAATCTCAGAGGACAAAAAATTGTTTCTACTTCTCTCTGATTCTTTTTTTAAAGGAATAATAATTGGCTAATATTTTTTATTTACATTAATATTATATTTGACTCATTAAGTTATAGCACCTTTTTTGAGTTTCTAATGTTGGTACAGCTTATTACCAATAGACTAAGGATCAGTTGGTATATGTATTCTAGCCATTGGATTTAATGTTTATGAAGTTTTTAAAAATGAAATCTCTAGAATTGGTTAAAATTAAAATAATGATTTTTAGGGAAGTTCAAAGAGGAGAAAAGCAAGAGCTAAGAAGAATAAAGCAATGAAGTCTATAAAAGTGAAAGAGGAAATAAAGAGTGATTCTTCTCCTTTGCCTTCAGAGAAGTCTGATGAAGATGATGATAAAGTAAGAATGTGTTTTAGAACAACAACCTTTTCTATGGAAAGGGAATTATGGCATGTTTTTGTGTACTTTACATTTAAAATTTGAACTAGTCCCTTAAAATTTGTATTTTAGGTACTGAAGTCTGTGTGTGTGTGTGTGTGCGCGTGCTTACGGTTCATGACATAGTCTCATTTATAGAACAGAATTCTGACTATCCAGTAGATATTATATAGCACTAGAGGCATAGAGCAAAGGTCCTTCCTTTTCAAACAATTGCCAGTTCGATGAGCTTCTGTCTCCTTTAATTGTATTATGAACTTGAACGGGACTGGCTTTATAGGAAGGTAAACATTGCATGTATAATTATTAGGGGGATTCTGGGCTGTCTTTCAGAATCCACATACATGCAATCTGTAGTCATGTGAAAAAAAAATTAGTCATTGTTAAAATTTGGTTAGTAATACATTGGCCATACTTGCACTTTGCAGGATGAGATCAGTTCTGTGAAACATCCAAATAAAAAAATTAAAACAGAAAGAGACAGTGAAGAAAAACCTGAGCCAGATGTTTTTATAAAGAAGGAACCAGAAGAAAAGAGGGAAGCAAAAGAAAAGGAGAATAAAAAAGAACTTAAAAGGGAGATAAAAGAAAAAGAGGATAAGAAAGATATAAAGGAAAAAGATTTTAAAGAAAAAAGAGAAAACAAAGTAAAAGAAGCTATACAGAAAGAAAAAGACATAAAGGAAGAAAAGGTATGCAAATCATAATAAAAAATAGAAAGTAAAAACAATCAGCATATTTACATTTTAGGAGACTAAATTGCATATCAGCCGATACTAGTCTCAATAATTGAGTTCTTCAGAAGCATGTGTGGGTATGCAGTAGAGGAGAATAATAGGTCTGAACACTCTTTCATGTTTTACCTTCAGAGTAACATTACAGAGTAGCTTTGGTTGTTTCCCCAAATGAAATTGGGGAAAAAAAATTAAAATAGATGAGGATATTCAACGAGAATGAGCACTTGTAGAATAAAATGAGACAGTAATTATTTTCTGGAAGTGTTAGTCATTTTGCCTTTGTTGCTATTGGGGTTTTGTTTTTGTTTTCTTTTCACTTTTTCTTTAGTTGAGCGAATCCAAGTCTGATGGTAGGGAAAGATCCAAGAAATCTTCAGTGTCAGATGCTCCAGTTCATATCACAGCAAGTGGTGAACCAGTTCCCATTTCTGAAGAATCTGAAGAGCTGGATCAGAAGACATTCAGCATTGTAAGCCTTTGACTTTCTGATTATTAGTACTAAATCATATAACATTTAAGTTGAAGTTTGTCATTTATAGCTTTTAATTTAGAACTGCATTTGAATTTATTGTAGATTAGATTGATGAAAGCAATATATTTAAAATTTGAAGGCTTTTTTTTTTTTGAGTTAGCATCTTACTCTGTCACCCATGCTGGAGTGCAGTGGTGTAGTCACAGCCGATTGCAGGCTCACCCTTCTGGACTCCAGTGCTCCTCCTGCCTCAGCCTCTCAAGTAGCTGGGACTAGAGACATGTGCCATACACCCAGCTAATTTTTAGTTTTTTTGTAAAGATGGGGATTTTTTATATCACCCAGGCTTGTCTTGAATTCCTTGGTGAAAAAGGGAGATAAGCCTGGGTGTGGTGGCTCACACCTGTAAGCAGTTTGGGAGGCTGAGGCGGTGGATCACCTGAGGTCAGGAGTTTGAGACCAACCTGGCCAACATGATGAAACTCTAAATACAAAACTCTAATACAAAATTAGCTGGGCGTGGTGGTGGGCGCCTGTAATCTCAGCTACTCTGGAGGCTGAGGCAGGAGAATTGCTGGAACCCAGAAGGCTAAGGTTGCTGTGAGCTGAGATTGCACCATTGCACCTCAGATGACTACGTGCCCGGGCTGGCAACAGTGAGACTCTATCTCAAAAAAAACCAAAAAAACCAAGGGAGATAAAAGGAGGCCAAGGTGGGCCCAGGTCCTGGGATTACAGGCTTGAGCTATCATGCCCAGCTGGTGTCTTAAATTTAGAAGCACTTCAGAGAGACTTTTTAAGAAAGACTTTAAGAAGAGGGGTTTGACAAGTACTTTGAGTGTATTTGTTTTCCTCCAGCTCATATTTCAAATTTTTAAATTCCTGAATGCCATTAAAAAATAAATATGTGTATATACACACACACATATATGTAATTGTGCTTGTTATCTATGGTGAAGGACTAGTTTTTTTTCCCAGTCTTTTGCAGACCAATTTTTTTTTTAAAAAATAAGAGTGAAATGTTTCACTAGAAAAGTAAAATAAGAAAAAATTATGTACAAAATATGAGCCTAATGTTTTGTTAGTAGATGCAGTAGCTGTAAAGTTGCATTGTCAAATTATACGAGTATCTAAACAGGCTCAATTTTTGTACCTATGTTGTTTTGGACTGGCAATATGTCTTGTCTAAAATATACTGATTCTGCATGTTGTCATGCCTTTGTGTTCCTCAAAGTGAGGGAGAAACTATCTGTGCCTTTTCTAAAGACTTTATTTACTGAAGATATTTATAATTTATGTATTTATTTATAATTTACTCAATGTATATATTCATAATTTATTTACTGAATATTATTGTATACTTATGTAATTACATAATATAACAGTATGTATGTGGTTAATAGTACTGACTCGAGGCAGAATGCTGCTATTTGGAAAGTAAGTATGAAGATTAAATGAATTGGTACATGTAAAGTTTGCAGATCAGTGCTGTCTTCAGAAAAGCTCAGAAATTGATAGCGATTGTGAGACTAAAAAGTCCAATTGCAGAGCAAAACCAGGAAGGAATAATAATTTTAGAGAAAAAAGCCAAGTGGTATGAGACAGATACGTAGTTTGGCCTTAACTAGGACTAGGAAATGTTTCCTTACAGGCCACAACTGAAGGTAACATTTGTAGTCTAATATATAAATGTATCATGTTTATATATAGTTACAATATATACAAATTTATATATAAATATATATTCCTATATTTCCTTTTTAGAGAATGCATGACAGCATGCATGATATGCGTGACAACATGCATTTCTAGAATCTGAATCTTTTGTACTAGTTGGAGCAGTTAACGTACTTCAGTCACTTGTTAGACTTGGTTGTTAGTTTTATCACTAGTATTAATCAAATGCTATACTTCAAAGATGGGAAATTTCACCTTCTAAAATTATATTTGTTTTTGACCCATTATGTCCTTCTAGATCCCCAGCTTACCCTCTTGTCCTGCTTTCTCTTCTTTTGCACGATGACTAGACAGTGCTGATTTAATGAACCCACTAATGTATTTCCTACTGATTCCACAACATGCCCTAATATAGTTCAAATATTGTTCATGCTCTTTAAATATATTGGTTCTTACCAGTCTTCTTGTTCTCCCTACTTTGAGCTGTTGACATTCTTCCAGTCACTGAGAATATTGGAGACATTCAAAGCTGCTGTGGCTCCTATCTTCCATTTTATTTATTTGAGCCATATGTTTTATCTCTGGACTTTTATTTTTATCTCCTCTGCAGATTCACAGGTTGGGATTTCTTCTCTCTTTTTCAAGGGTAACTGTTTTTTTGTTTTTGTTTTTGTTTTTTGTCTACTCTGTATTGGGTGGGACTCGGGGGAGGTGGTATTCTTTTGCTTTTTTGAGTTGAAAACATTAAACTCTTCACTTGAGCTACTTCTCCTTCTCTCTGTGGTCCACTAATGAATTAGGTGAGATTGTGCCTTTTGCCACTTTTTTCCCCCCACATTTCTTTTTTACTCTTCTGACTTTTTCATGTAACTGCTGGAATGGAAAAATTCCTACTGTGCACAATGCATGAATTTTCTCTCCATTGATCTTAAATGATATTGTGTGTATCATGAAAATGAAGACTGGAATAGTTCTTAAACATGGACTCCGGAGCCAGACTTTCTGGCTTGTATAGGATTTTACCTCTAAGTAAGAAATTCCATTGTATTTGGGAATAGCTCTAAATAATTATGAAATTCAATGGCCTTTTCTAGGTCATCACTCTCTAAACATCACTCCTTATCTTTTACTGGTTGTCTTCCTAAGTGACAGTATAATTTAGCAGTCGAGAAAGAGCACAGAGTCTGAGGTCAGTTAGAGCTGGATTTGACAGATGTCATTTTATTCTAAGTTTCAGTTTCTTCTATAAAATAGATTAAATACTACTGCAAAGGACTATTGTCAGGGTCTATTCTTATTGCTTCCATCCTGCTCATACCTCCGTTGGTACCCCACATAGCAACCAGAGTAATCATGACTTAGAGGGAGAATAAAGTCCCACCATTATATTTCTGTGCTTAAAACACTCCAATGACTTTCTATCTCATGTAGGAGAAAAGATTCTTAGCCTGAAACCAACCTCGTAGCATCTAGTCACCTCCCATCATTGCCAGCCACTTCTCTCACTTACTTGGTTCCAGAGACACTGGTGTTCATACTTTTTTTTAAAACATGTCAAGCAAGTTTTAGGGCATTCATGTTTGTTTTTTCCTCTACTTGAAATGGCTTACTCCTTCATTTTCTTTAGATGTCCTCTCAAACATTGCCCTTCTCTGAAATCTTGTATAAGATAGGAAGCTCCCTGCTCTTTATTGCTTTATTTTTCTTTATCACAGTTGTTGTCACCTGACACACTATTTCTTCTTTATTTATTGGCTCTCTAGTGTTATACTAGATTCCAGGTTCCATAAAGGCCGGATCTGTTTTACTTACAGCTCTATTTCCTGGGTCTGGAACAATATATGGAACATAGTATGTACTAAACTGACATATGTTGGATAAATTATTTTCTAACAGAATATAAACTGCCAAAGTTGAACAAAAAATAGGAAACATAAAGAACAGCAATGAATAAACTAAAAGTTAGAAAGGAAATTAAAGATTTTCTTAAAGCATCAGATCTGACTGAATTTTAATTTTCTTTTTAATAAGAGAGGTCCTTCAGAGCAGTGGTGTGAGGATTTACTATTTTATTTTTTTGAGATAACAGTCTCACTCTTGCCCAGGCTGTAGTGCCAGTGGCATGATCACAGCTCATTGCAGTCTCCTGGGTTCAAGCAGTCCTCCCACCTTGACCTCTTGAGTAGCTGGGACCACATGTGTGTGCCACCATGCTTGGCTAATTTTTTTTTTTTTTTTTTGTATAGAATCAGAGTCTCACTGTTGCCCAGACTGATCTCAAACTCCTGGACTCAAGTGATCCTCCCGCTTCAGCCTCCCAAAGTGCTGGGGTTACAGGCATGAGCCACCACACCTGGCCCGATTTCTTAATAAATGATGTTGGATTATCTAAATGTATTGTCTGATGTTGACCCATCATCCTTATATTCCTAGAACTAAACCAGCTTGCTTTCTGTGAATATAATGTTAATTTTTAATTTGTTTTTGCATTTACAAATTTTATCTGAAGGTTCCCTTGTTAGTAATATTTTTATTTTGATTTTGGTAGAAGGTTGTAGTTCCTATTGCTACAATAAAACATGCAGTTCTTAATATGTCAGCCTTTTATAAGCATGTCAGGAATGTACAGGCCAAGGAAAAAGTTACCCTTTGACCCTGTATTCCCCAACCACCCAAAATATGAAGAACAAGTCATTATTGCCACCTTCTGTTGTTGCAAAAGTTTGGAAGAATAGACAGTTTATGTATCTAGCTATATTGATTTTAATAGTTTTGCTAAAATCATTTTACCCTGTATTTAGTGGATAGTAGGGTATATTAAGTTATACTCTGAAATATTTTTACTCTCTCTCTTTTAATATTCTATATTTAAGACTCCTTATAATAGTGTGCTACAGTATAAAAAATAACCATTTATGTAGAAGCTAAGTAAAATCCAAAACTTTTACTTACTCAAATACTAATTTTAAATGATAACAGAAAGGCTTACTTTCCTGAAAAAAATCTAAAGAGGAAAGAACCCTGATGTATAAGATTTGTGAAGTGAGATTTAATTGCTTATTTTGCTATCAAACAGTGTTATAATATTCATGTAAATATCATTGAAGGAGGTAGATCTTGTTGACTTTAGGTTTTTAATACATGTGTTTATATTCTTGTTTTCTCATTTTAAAGTGTAAAGAAAGAATGAGGCCTGTTAAAGCAGCTTTGAAACAACTTGATAGGCCTGAGAAAGGCCTTTCAGAAAGAGAACAACTAGAACATACTAGACAATGTTTAATAAAAATTGGAGACCATATCACAGAATGTCTAAAAGAGTATACAAATCCTGAACAAATTAAGCAATGGAGAAAGTAAGTGATACACTTTTCAGGAAGTGTTAAATTTGTATTATGTAACTGTCTTTTGTTTTTCTGTTTTCTTTCCTGATTCTGAAGTTTAGGGAACAAGATAATTTTTAAAGAGGTAACCTGCAGATGATTGTTTTAATTTTTCTCCCTTTAACGTTAAAGTTTTTTATTTATGAGTGGTTACTTAGGTATCATGGTATGTAACAAGTGGCATCTCTGCCTTTAAAGAAATAGTGACAGCTGTTTCATTAAAATTCAGATTGCATTTTATTTGAAAAAGTCTTTGCAATTTACCAAATTATTATCGGTAATATCTTTTGAAGTTGATGTTCCCACAAAGTTTATTGTTGCATGAATTTAGCAGTTTACATCCTGGATACATGTATGAAGTTGTAAAAATTAACATCCTCAAGCAATGTAAAATGCAAAAATTAGGAAAATAAAAGTAATGTAGTGCATTATTCTTAAAGCTAAATTTAGCTAAATTAAAGGATTACATTTAATTTCTTCTCTACTTTTTTTAGTGTAAAAATGCTTGGCTTCTATCTTTTACATTTAACCAGCTATACAAAATTTGAAAGCCTGGCAACTCCTCATTTAAATAATACCTTTTGCCAAGAATGGGTTATCATTTTTGGAGGACCACTGAATGAAAATACTTAGTTGTATCTTACACACCAATATTTGAATCCTTGTAATTAGAGCTTAGATTTTTGAGGTTCAAAGAGTTAGAATATCTACTTTTTCTGCGTTCTAGATGAGAAATAAGGAACATCTTATTGAAATTACACAGTGAATTTGGTTGAAAGTAAATTTAAAAATGAGCAAAGAATTAAAGAATTTGAAATAAAATTTTAAGTAAAATATAAAAATTACACAGCGACTAATACAAATAGGTACCATTTCAAATTCGGTTTGTTATTAGGAAAGAGTGGGGAAACCTTTGGAAGAAGAGAGACTTAATAGCCAGGAGACTTAACTTTTTCATTGTATTCTGTCACTTTACATCCTAAGGCTATGCTCTCACCTTACTTTTCTTCATTCAGTTGGGCAGATTACCTTTTTGGTTTTCCCGTTTGGTTCTCAGTTACTTTGATTTCATATGCCTTATTGTTCATTCCTGCAGCCTCTGTCTCTGGTTAAACCAAATTCCCTTAAGAGGGAGATGGGGAAGGAAAAAGGGAAATATCCCATGAAGCAGAATAGCTTTTGCTCTCTTAGAGAAATTGTATTTTTATTTATTCATTTTTTTGAGATGGAATCTCACTCTGTTGCCCAGGTTGGAGTGCAGTGGCGGATATCGGCTCACTGCATCCTCTGCCTCCTGGGCTCAAGCTATCCTTCCACCTCAGTCTCCCTGGTAGTGTGGGATTACAGGCCCAGGCTACCAGGCCTGGCTAATTCTTGTATTTTTTGTAGAGACGGGTTTCACCATGTTGGCCAGCCTTGTGTTGAACTCCTGACCTCTAGCGGTCTGCCTGCCTTGGCCTCCCAAAGTGCTGGGGGGAATTTTTTTTTAATACAGAAACAAGAAAAAAAAAGTACCTTATATTGAGACCTATTATTGGCTGACCCCATCCCCTCAACAACAGTCATTGTGGGCCAGGCGCGGTGGCTCATGCCTGTAATCCCAGCACTTTGGGAGGCCAAGGCGGGCAGATCACGAGGTCAGGAGATCGAGACCATCCTGACTAAGACGGTGAAACCCCCTTTCTACTAAAAATACAAAAAAAAAAAAAAAAAAAAAAAGCCGGGCATGGTGGCACGTGCCTGTAGACCCAGCTACTCGGGAGGCTGAGGCAAGAGAATCACTTGAACCAAGGAGGCAGAAGTTGCAGCTGTTTTGCTTTATGAGATATTTCCATCTTTCCTTCCCCATCTGGGGAATTGTACAGAATGAAAGAAGATAGAAATCTAAAGATTACAGAACGGTTGGCATTAAGCAAGTGTTACAGTAGTTACCATAATGATCTTTTTGTTTTTTGCTTACAATTTTTTTCAATATATTTTTTGACCAAATTTCTTAAAAACAACTGAAATGCAACACTAGTTTTTATTTAAAGATCACTGTAATAAAGTGATGGCCAAAATAGAATGTATATTTGTATTTTATTTGTCTATCAAATATGCCTCATTCTAGCTGATCCTTTTAATAGTATTACTTGTAGGAACTATGAACAGATATTTACTATTCCATTTTACAGAAGGAAAAAAATGGATTCAGTTGAAAAGCATTTTAGGGCTGGAACTGGAGAATGACAGAGGAAACACTAGGACCTGAACTCTAAAAGAGGCACTAATTCTTAGGTTTGCGTAAGTGCTGATGCTTGCCTCAGCTCTGGTGCTTTGTTCAAGATCAGATAGTCATTTGGATGATATAATTAAGACCAGAATCTGGTTCCTGACTAGATTTTTTGGGGGAAAATATGTATATGTATGTGTGTGTGTATATATATATATTTTTTAATTTTTTTTATTTTTATTTTTATTTTTATTTTTTTTTGAGACGGAGTCTCGCTCTGTTGCTCAGGCTGGAGTGCAGTGGTGCGATCTCCGTTCACTGCAAGCTGTGCCTCCCAGGTTCATGCCATTCTCCTGCCTCAGCCTCCCGAGTAGCTGGGACCACAGGTGCCCGCCACCACGCCCGGCTAATTTTTTTGTATTTTTAGTAGAGACGGGGTTTCACAGTGTTCGCCAGGTTGGCCTCGATCTCCTGACCTCGTGATCCGCCCGCCTCGGCCTCCCAAAGTGTTGGGATTACAGGCGTGAGCCACCGCGCCCGGCCGGAAAATATGTTTTTACAAGGAATTTACTTAGGAACAAAAAGGTACTTTATTAAATTCCCACCTTTTACCCTTATGAGTTAACCTTAGAATGTAGATATGTTCGAGATAGTCTGTGAATTTATGTAAAGGCTAGATGAATTTTCCCCCTTCTGTGGATTTCAGTTCAGTAAGGTACCATTCAATATATTCTCTTAAGTTCATTTTAAAAATATATTTCAAGGTAAATATTTTACCTCTAGTGTACATTTGAATCTTCTAGGGACTACTACCCTCCCTTAGAACTTAACATTCCTTTTCTTTTTGGAGGTATATTTAACAATTTACAGTTCTTATATATTTAAGGTATACAGTTTGATGATTTGATATACACATGCATTATGAAATAATCACCACAGTTTCTGATTAATTACTGATGCCTCTGTTGGAATGGCAAGAGATACCAAGCTGTACCTCATTTATGGTGTTTGATCGTGTTAACTCTTGGGACCATTACATTACTATTATTAAGTGACAGTTACTTTTTAATGCATTATTTAAGACAATTCTTTACAAGCATAATCCGTATTACCTGATGGTATTTCCACTCCCAATTATTAACATACCTGTCCGTTATATGCATAATCAGGATCACAGTATGAATCTGAATCACTTCCTGATTTAATTTATATCTTTGGTGCATTTCAAATTAGGATTGTTTACTGCTTTTCAGTCTAAAGACTATAAAATGAAGTGATCTGGAAGAGAAGTAAAATATAATGTTTAGTTTCACTGGAGTCTTATGAAGTTTTGAAAAAATACATAGAATTAATATCCGTAAGAGTTTGTTCCATAGAGGGCTGTGTATGTGTGTATGAGTTTCTGTTTGGAGGGAGGGAGTTCCATGAAAAAAACTAAATATTTTCCACCAGACTAATGTAATTTGCCTTTTTTTTTAATTCTTCTAGAAACCTATGGATTTTTGTATCTAAGTTTACTGAATTTGATGCAAGAAAATTACATAAATTATATAAGCATGCTATTAAAAAACGGCAGGAATCTCAGGTAAACTTGCCATCATATTTTTTTCCCTTAATTTATATAATTAAAACCATGAGACATTCTTTTTACAAAGCAATTTGATTAATAAATACAGAATGAATAAGATAAATTTTAAAAATCACCATTGAACACCACAGTAATAATTCTGTAATAATCTCAGGCAAGATTCACAGAAGGGAGGTAAAGTTAATGGGCAAGAAAATAGGATATTGACAGATCTCTGAAATGTTTATTAATTATAAAGGGAAAATAATAACTTTATAATAGAGAAACTTACCTGACCCACCTTAAACAAGTGATCAAGGTTAATGTCACCAGTGGTAAGACACATCAGCATCACGAACCCTCTGATACTGAGAAAGGCACATCACTTATGTGGAATTCTTGCCAAAAATATATAAGTGTTATGTGAAAATATCAGACAAGCCCTTCTTGAGGGATATTCTATAAAATAACTGCTACTCTCCAGAAGTATTAACAGCATGCAGTAGACTAAGGAGCTGCCCCAGAGGAAGACACGACAACTTAGTGTAATATGGGCTTCCAAATCGAATCCCCGAGCAGATAAAGAACATGAGTGGAAAAATGTGAAATCTGAATGAAGTCTGTTCTTCAGTTAATAGTGTTATACCAATGTTATTTATTTGGTTTTGATCTTTATACTATGTTTATATAAGATATTAACATTGGGAGAAGCTAGATGAAGGGTATGTGAGAACTCAGTATTTTTGCAACTTTTCTGTTAAGTCAGTTTATTTCAAAGTGAAAAAATATCTTTAAGTCATGGGACAAGTAGTTCATACTTTAAAAATGGAGATCTATAAATGTCATACATGTATATATACGCACATATATACATATATGTACACACATAAACATTCTAATACCTTGTTTGAAGACTTCAGTATCAGTATTTTCTAAGAATTATCCTTTTTTGTAAGTTTGTGAAGTCACCTAAAGATTCTTACACATGTGTGCATTTATTTTAGCAAAACAATGATCAAAACAGCAACTTGAATCCTCATGTGATTAGAAATCCAGGTATGTAAGCCTTACTGATTAGGAAAATAAATTTAAAAAAAATTTTTTTTTTAATATTTGTTTTAAATAAACTAAATGTTAAAAAAGTTGTTACCTTGTTTTTATTTACAAGTACCTTTATATTAAGAAGATATGGTAATTCTGATACATACCTACATTATTATATAAAATGTATTCTCTTAAGCTATCGTTCTTTTTAGTTGATTATCCTTTTAATCATCTTTTTCCCAGTTTCTAGAAATTGTAGAATAACTGTTAAAATGAACAAATATTCTTTTTTATGTAATTTGGAATGGTAATGCATTCTTTCTGTATGACAGCCACAAAAGTATAGTCTGAGAAAGGAATGGGTCCCATATTTTTTAGTTTTTGTCACATTTCAGAATCAAGTGACCCTTTTAAAATAATCCTTAGTACTGCTTTTATACACCATTTATAAATGCTTCAACTGCTTGTATTTGGGAACCAGTTTTGTTTTGGCAAGGGTTGAAACGAGTTCTTGTTATCTATCAACTTAAGTTTTTTTTGCCACATATTATTTTTAAGGTCGTTAATAAAAGTTGTACTTATCTAACAGATGTGGAAAGATTAAAAGAGAATACAAATCACGATGATAGCAGCAGGGACAGTTATTCCTCTGATAGACACTTAACTCAGTACCATGATCATCATAAAGACCGACATCAGGGAGATTCTTACAAAAAAAGTGAATCCAGGAAAAGACCCTATTCTTCTTTTAGTAATGGTAAAGACCATCGTGATTGGGATCACTACAAGCAAGACAGCAGGTAAACTTGGCAGTCACTTTAGAAATTTTGCTTATGCATGTCTTTCTCCTTATCATGATGTTCCTGTATTTAACCTATCAACTAATTCAATCTTCATGCAGTCAAAACAAATCTTGTGAAATAAAGGTGTTGTATATAATTAAGAAAAATTTATATATTTCAAGAACTGAATTTCTCTATAAAATGGCTTTTGAATCATAAAATTGAGATCAAAATATGTAGTAAGAAAGTTAATGTAGGGAGTTGCATAATTATAAATTGTGTGGGATTCATTGTTGGTTTTGGAGAATATTGGCTCAAATACTCTTTAAAATATAATAAATGGGATGAAATAAAAACTTGATGTAATAGTGGTTCAGGTTTGGCTTAGGAAATTTTGTATTCCATATTTTTAAAAAGTAATGAGGGGAAAAATTAATATATGCAAACACATCTCGTTGAGGTTAAACTTCATCTCAGCAATCTGGAATATTCTTGGAACCAGGAGGGTTTTTTGTTTATTGTTGTTTTTTGAAGCCTTTGAACAGTAAGCAACCTCAGTGTAATAACATAGAATACTTTTTATTCCTTTATTAATAAAGAAGTATTGTCAGTAGTTAATGATCATTACTAAAAGTAAACTTGAAAACGATTTATGGTATTTATGCTTTTATAGTAAGTAGAAGCAGCAAATTAGAAGACATTCTTTGTATTTTAGTTGTGTTCACTACAATAATTTCTTTGAGAACTTCTGTCAACACTATGAACACATCAGTTGTAAATGTCTCTTATTATTAGAAAGCGTCAAATAATTAAAAAGGCAGATTTGTAATATATATTTCACAGGCTTATACAATATAGTTGTTTGTAGTAAGGTCAACAAAAAAGGAACACATTATCTTCAGTGTGTGTCACTTTGGAATAGGCAGTCATTTTAGAGAATACTTCTCATTAAACTGCCACATTTATTTTTTGTCAAGCTGTCACATGTTTGTGGAGTAAATTTCTTAATGATTCATGTGTCACGTCTTACTAACTAGTCAAACTTGAGGAAGCTTGTAATAGGCATCAGCAACCAATGAAAAATTTTTTCAGATTATTTTGTAGACTGCATTCTAGCATTTTTAAACTTTTTCCTGCTTACTGGTTGATAAAAGTCTCTGGTCTCAGGAGTGTTTCAGATAGTTGTAATAGTCTTAATTTCAACTTTCAGACAATTAAGATGCAGTCATATAAATGATTTGTAAAATAAAAAGCAGCTAATTATCTAAAATAGCCATGTGAGATTAGATGCTATTTTAAGGACTTTGTATGGTTCACTTTAGTTTTATGAATCAAATAGTTCTTCCAAAGAGATATTTCCAGTGATTTTTGAGTTAATGTAGTAAGTTTTATAATGAAACACTGAGCTTGTATACAGTTAAAAACATGTTTTAAGGTATTTTTATGTTTTTTAGTAATCTTTTATTTGGAAACATTTTAATTTGCATTATTTATCTAAAATTCTCAATTTTTCTTTATTAGATATTACAGTGACAGAGAGAAACACAGAAAACTGGATGATCACAGGAGTAGAGATCACAGGTCAAATTTGGAAGGAAATTTAAAAGATAGATCTCATTCTGATCATCGTTCTCATTCAGATCATCGGTTACATTCAGACCACCGATCAAGTTCTGAATATACGCACCATAAATCTTCCAGGGATTATAGGTATCACTCAGATTGGCAAATGGACCACAGAGCTTCCAGCAGTGGCCCTAGGTCACCACTAGATCAGAGATCTCCTTATGGCTCCAGATCTCCATTTGAACATTCAATTGAACACAAAAGTACACCGGAGCATACCTGGAGTAGTCGGAAAACATAACAAAAACTGCTATTTCGTCTTTCTGGACTTTTAGCCATATATCATAAACCAACACAGTAATTGCCTTACATGACTTGAAAGATATAAACAGATCTTCTATCAGTAGCAGTATTGTTACTTCTTTCCAGGATGCAAGGTCTATTATCCCAACAGAAGAGAAAATATTTTTATATTTAAGGATTATGCTGCACTGTACTACAAATGTTGTAGTACTTTTTTTTTGTTTGTTTCTTTTTTAAAGAAATGGAAAATGTTTACTATTACAGGGACCTCAACACTGCCCTCCCATACAGGCTGGATAAAACTGTTTTTAAGTCAGTGATTTTAGACTGACCTCCATTTAAATTATGTTTATATATGAACTTTACTCTGACCTGTGATCATGTTTCAGGAAGGAATGAAAGAGAGTTCTTTCTTAATAAAGAAAAACACTCAAGGACTTTGTTCATTTCCAAAGCTACTTGTTTACATTGTACACTGCGACCACCTTGCCGCTTTTCATCACAAGCTTGAATATTTAAATTCTGTACTTATATCTGTAAAATAGTCAGGAATTTCCTGTTTGTGATCTATTATTATGCCTTTTTACAAAAAAGAAATGGCTGTAAATTACTGTAAATATTAAAGGAACTTTCCTTACTTCCTTCCCTTTCTCAGGCTTTTTTTGACTGTTCCTTTCCCTACCAACTCAGGCCTTCTTAAAAAAAAAAAAATCAGTGTAATAACACTTTTTAATGATTTGTCTTGATGGAATCATTGTTTAGAATGTAAAAATGGGGAAAGGGGCCACTTTAATTCCATTAGTCCTCTTTTTATACTGAATATTTTATTAGATACATGTTATTTCTTCCCCCTTTTTTTTTCCTTTTTTAGTCAATATTGTGTTTGTAGTTTTAAAATGGCGAGATGATATGTAAAATCTTAAACTGCATGCTCTGGAAACATTTTTTTCAGATGCATCTGGTTTAAAAGGGTAGGTGTATAAACACTTTTCAGAATCCAAAACGGCCAAAAGTTATTGTAAATCTGTTTGTTTTCCCGTTTCATGTGGGCAATAATGTCAAATGTGCTATGCAGCCAGGTTAACATTTTAGATAAACTTGATTGACTTTTAATATAAACTGTTACAATGCACACTGATTGTATATAAAAACCTTATATATGACAAATTAAATTTAAGAAAAAGGATATGTGGGCTCCTGTAATTTTCTGCTGCATTCTTACTCCCTCAAGCACTTAACACCCCCCGCACTCCCTTTTTAAGTAACGTTTTGCCGCCAGAAAACGTATTTTGGTAAGCAGTTGAATATTTGTAATGTGTAGCATTACAACTAAATCTTTTGGAGAATATATGAATATTCCTATGAAGTAAAACTTAGGCCATAGACATTTTTGTTGGCCCCTTTTGGCTTCCTGCAGATATTATTATGGGATGCTTTATATTTATTCATAGATTTTTATGTTGTTTTATATTCAGTGGGATTTTTTAAAGTCATGTGACACATTCTAGCATGTATGCTTTGATGTAACAAATTTGAATCTTAACTTTGACAAACATAAGTATGTGGACATAATTTCTATAATATTCCTCTGTGTGTCACTGTTAGTTGGCTGTGGGAGCAACCTACAGATACCTGTCCATAGATTTATTTTTTTTAAATTTTCCTTTGTCCAATTAGGTCTATGTGTATAAAAGCTTGTGGGTTTTTCTGCTTTTTGTTTTGTTTTGCAGTGATTTCTCTTTCTAATACAGTTACCCTGAAGAATAATGATGGTTTATTTCTTTTCTGGTATATGAGATAACATGGGAGGAAATAGCTCAGTTTTTTAAACATCTAATTTATATTTAAATATAAAAGTAATGAACGTAGTCCTGGCACACATTTTTGAAACTTCTATCACTTTTCTCTACATTTAGTATGATTATTTTATTCCACAAGCTAGCATTTGACTGATTCATGATGCTTAAGTCATAAGATCATAGCTGGCATTTTTTAATTTATTGCTTTGTAGTTGAGATACTTGCATAATATTCTATTGTGCAAATTTCACAGAACAATGTTGCATTTTCTGAGACAAGGGAATAGGCTCTAATTTTTAAAATAATGCTACATTTAGTTGAAAGTTTCAGTCAGCTGAGTTGAATGAAAAATATAGAACTGTATGTACATTTATCAAATGACAAAATATGTTCATTTTTTGTAAGAGATCAGTAAGTAGAAGACAATGGAGAAGAACAGTACATAAATATAGCAGAACATTCTCTATAAAATTTGCTTATTTTTTGTCTTTCACATGCTCATTCTGCTTTGTTATTTTTATCCAGTTATGTTTAATTTTTCAAGGGTGAGAGATTATGCATAGTACTGTACCAATTAACCTTCCACTCTTACACAATAAATGATTCTTACTAAAAGCAATAGCCTGTTTGCTTATAAAGATACTCTTTGTTTAGAGTATGTTAGAAATTAATGTTCAGACTATGGAAAATGAGTTTGAATAATTTATTTTCAGAGTGAGTAGCTTAATGAGAACCTTTTTAATTTTATGTAATGTAGATTGTATATATAATTTCTCTTTTTGTAATTAATATGAAAAGGTTGAGTAGGTTATTCATTTTCATGAAGTTTATCAAGAATATGCTCTAGGGGTAAATGGCATGATTTGTATTTCTACCCCACTACTATCTCTAACTAGAAAATGATCTTTGCACCCCAAATTAGCTGTCATAGCTTTATAAATACAACAGCTTTAAAAAGGGATAGGGATTTGGAAGAGCAACTAATATTTAAATACAGGATTTTTTTAAAAAGACTTTCAGCTTCATAGGAAACTGCAAAAATGTTTTAAAATATTTCTGAGTTAATATGTAAAAGCACATTAATATAGATGCCTCTATTAAATGCACATTACTCAAAATGCAAACGAAACTTAGATTTTAGCACTGTACAATAATTGTAATGAATGGAGGATGTTATAGAGGACACAATTAGATAGTAATGCAACAACAAATATTTTGAGATAGTGTCAAAATGTGTTAAAATTTCTAAGACATTCAATTATAGATATTTTGAAGAAAATTTGAGATTATATTTTCTGACAATAGTAATTGATTTTGTGGAACACTTCATGCTAATTTTCTTAACTCAAAAAAAAATTAGGACCTAATAGGTTGACTCCATTACAGAAATTCCTTGAATTCTGATAGGAAGATCTTGGAATAGGAAATCTTAGCTATGGTGTAAAAGGATGAAAGATGAGATTACTGGAGAAAGTAGGATTAATAAAAAACGTTGAAAGATTGTTACAAGTACCTATACAAATTCTCTAATGGGGCTTCATGCACTGGATTTTCTACACTAAAAGGCCACTAACCACTCTGTCCTTTAGCTTAAAAAAAAAAACAATTTTTTAGAGTATGTTAGAAATTAATGTTCAGACTATGGAAAAATTTTTTTTCATAAAATTGTTTTTAAAAAAATTTTTTAAGGTGTAAAAAAAATTACACCTATATTTGAAACAAAATTTGTAGTAGAAACTCAATTCATTCAAATGAATGAAATAATTTTAATTCCATGTTCTACTCCACATTTGAGTCCTGATCTAAAGATGAAACTAAAGAGGTATGAACAGTCTAAAACTCCTAACGATTCTGTTAAAGGAGCTAATGATATTGTTTGCGTTGGTGAAACAAAAACTTTATGTGACTGAAAAATGATGTATTGTCATTTCATGATTGTAGACTACTATTCATTAGATTTCAAATTTAGAATGAGCTATGGAACTGCCACTACTTTACTTGTTACTTTTTTTATTTCTTCTGTTTACTTTTCAAATCTTTGCTTTGTCTCTAGTGTTCTGCAGGCTGACTATATTAAGTCCTGTGGTGGTTTTATTATTATTATTATTTTAATTTCTTTTTTGATCAGCTGTTGCCTCTTACCCACTTCTTTTTACTTTCTGGAATCCAATGTCATTGTTATCATAAGACTTAATTTCTGATATATTTCTCAACAGCTGCACTATTTTTTTTTTCCTGTTTCTAGTGCTGACTATCTTTAGCTTCAACCACTACCCTGAAGTCATCTCCACTTAGACAGCTAACAATGTGTAATTTTAAAATATGTAAAACCAAACTCAACCCTTTTACACTAATGACATTAAAAGTTTTAAAAACTACGAGGCTGGGTGCAGTGGCTCACTCCTGTAATTCCAGCACTTCGGGAGGCCGAGGCAGGCAGATCACTTGAGATCAGGAGTCTGAAACCAGCCTGGTTAACCCGGTGAGACCCTATCTCTACTAAAAACACAAAAATCAGCTGGACATGGTGGTATGCGCCTGTAATCCCCACTACTCGGGAGGCTGAGGCAGGAGAATTGCTTGAACCCAGAAGGCAGAAGTTGCAGTGAGCCAAGATCACGCCCCTACAGCGTGGGCGACAGAGTGAGACTGCCTCCAAAAAAGAGAGAAAGTTTTAAAAACTAGGGTCTTTGATAAATGCATTCACGGCTTTCTGCCTAAGGCACTTTCTACTTACCTATTTCTGTTCTTTTTGCTTCACTTCAGTCACTCCTCTCAATACAAAGAAAATACTTCTTGATCTTTGCATTGTTGTCTATCTATTAAAAATGCTTATTTGTGATTTGTACAAAACTTGTTTCCTCAATTCAGGTTTCTTTCAGCTCAAATGTCATTTCAAGTCTTGAAATTAGTACCCTGCCCCACCGTTTTAAAAAATCCCTTATCTTGCATCTTCTAGCATTACCACTGCTTATATATTTGGTTCATTTGCCATTGACTGCTTCCCCACTAGAAGATAAGTTCCATTAGGGCAGGGACTTTATTTTGTTCACTGCTATATTCTCAGTACTTAATGCCTTGTATCAATTACATTGTTTTCATTTTTTTAGTGTCCTTCCCAGAAATGCTATGCCCTATAAATGGCCAGCATTACCAAACTTTTTGTCTTACCATTGTTAACCTGATTTGTTAGTATTGGAAACTATCGTATGCTTTACTGTTTCATGGATTACTTGAGTCTGTTTACTACCAGTTTTTAAACTTGACTGATAAAAATCACCAGAGGTACTTGAGAAACAGAGAAAAACGTAAGCCTCATCTCTTGGAATTAAAATGGCAGGGAAATGCTCCAAGTAATGGGGTTTTAATATCTCTTTCATTGACCTGAATAATTAATACAGAGGTTAATTCCACTGTTATAAATAATACACTAATGCTTAAATGAAAACCTGGTTTCTGTAACTATATGGCTACTTAGGAAATATAATCGATACTTTGCAAAGAGATATGCAGAGACGTGGTATATATAAAATAGGAAAATGTAAAACATTTTGATTTGTCTATTGCTTTACCTTTCTTCTTCATTATTTTTAAAATTAGAAGTGGAGTCTTGCTATATTGCTCCAGACTGGTATCGAACTCCTGGGATCAAGGCAATCTTGCTCCCTCAGCCTCCCAAGTAGCTGGGATTACAGACTCAAGCCACAATGACTGGGTTGTCTATTACCTTATCTTTCGAAAAGAAATACATTTTTAGATAGTATCATGAGACACTATCTTTTTTAACGCACAAAAGCACAACTTGTAAAAACACTAAGAGAAATATGTTGTATTTCCAATGTTTTTAAAGTAAAATTGCAAAAACAAAAAATATCCCCTCTCTTGCTGTTACTTGCTATATTTTTCCCATTAAGAAATTTACATCATGTTTACCCAAGTTAAATTCACCTTCTCTAGGCATACATCATGATGAGTTTTGACAGGTTATGCAGTTGTTGTAACCATCAGTGTACTTGAGATATAAAGTATTTCCATCTTATCAAGTAAGTTCTCTTTTGCTCCTTTCCCCTATACCAACCCCTTGGCAATCACTGATTTGTTCCTATAGTTTTATTTTTCTCATAATGTCATATAAATGGAATCATATGTATGTTGCCCTTTGAGTTTGCCTTTTGCTTAGCAGGATGCTTTTGTAATTATCCATTATTTTGCATCTATCAGTAGTTCATTTCCTTTTATTGCTGAGTGATCCTCCTTTCTCAGGTTGGAGTGCAGTGGCACAATCATGGCTCACTGCAGCCTTGACCTTTTAAGTATGTCTGTGATTCATTTTGAGTTGATGTTTTCTATATTGTGTGGAACACAAAAAGTTGTGGGTTCTGTTACT